TCCTTCTAACAGTAAAATCTAAATTATAATTCTTGACTGGAATTCTTTCAAATCCATAGAGTTCCTTGGAGGAAGGTTTTTTTGTGGTCAAGATTGATTTTGCATTCTGGTTCAAGTGTTCTAAGGGATTAACATTCAAATTTTGAGCTAGACAGTTGAACTTTGATTACATTCTTCTCAAACCGGATTTACACACATCTCATATTGTGGCTTGAATAATACATACCAAGTTCATAGCAGTCCATGCTAATCTATCATGGCTCCACTGTAAATGATGTTGAGGTGCTAATGGCAGGACACACAGCAGTTACCGTGCATGCAAATTTACCTCTGCTAATTGTTTGCCAATGATATAAGAAGAAAGGGGGTTCTATATTGAGACTTACACTTGTCTGGATGGTATACAAAGATGATGTCATTATTTTCTTCTAATCATCTCTCCTGATGGTGTCTGGACATCCAGTCTGTTTACCATGTGTGTGCCCTCATGCTCTAATACCACTTCAATCAGGTCAAAATGGTCCAGATGCCAACAAAATGCTCATCCTGATATGTCTTTTCTCACTGTGAACTGTGTAATGTCTTTGAATTGTATAGGCATGCCTGGTGTTCAGACTCCAAACAACTACATCAAAAATTCTGAATAGTGAGCTTTTTTTATAGCACACTGGAATAAATTTTAAGGCACTAGTAGCATTGACCTGGCTTGCAATTGGACCACAACTGTGATCATTTGCATACTTGTCTGAGACCTAACTGGATGCAGTTTTGCAGTAATCAGACAATTCTATCTGGGTGTGTAACTTTTTGGTCAGTAAGTATAAAAATTGATTCAAATCATACAAAGCTTTACAGATTGTATTTTCTTTTATTAAAATTACAGATGATAACTATTAAAGTGTTGTAATGTAATATATGGTTTATTAGAATGGTATAAACTAGTATTCCTATATAATTATTTACCACAGATGTTATCGTAGTCCTGAAATCTACTAACTAGATGAAGAAAAAATCTAGTGTATTGTTAAAATAATTAACTAAGTATCCCAATGGTTCTCAAGAGGATAAAAGGAAAAGATAAAAGTTTTCAAGCATTTTTGTAATTATCATGGTATGCTGTTTAGCTTTTAACAATCTACCCAATTAATGCCTATTTAACACGTGCCAAAACATTATCTCCATTACTTTTTCTGCCAGATTTTGGTTTCGGTCACCGCCTTTATTAAGTTTACCCAGTTTCAAGTGGTGGTTTTATCTACCCAATTGTCACCGAAAAAGAAATATTCGCACTCAATGTCAATCATTAGTTTCTTAATCTGAAATCTATAAGATTGAATGGAGATGTTTATTTTACTACATAAAGAACCTGTATATAGATTGTTAAACTTGAACAACATGCCACAACGATGAGTAAATTGCAATTAGGAATGAGAAGTTCGGACATCTGACTTTTTATCCCATGGGCACGGTCTACAGCTCCGATAAGGTCCCGACCACCTCATAAAGAGCCCGATGACGAGCAAGCGCTCAGAAACACTACACAGATGAAAAATTTCTCCCGAGACAATGTTTAAACATGTTTTCACGTGTAATACAACAGTAATAATGAATTGTGTTCCTGCTGAAGAATATCAATAGCTTTATAATTCTAATTATTCTTTTTTCATCTTGTATTTAAACAATGTAAAAAAATGTACAATAGAAACAATACAAAAAAAACAGCACGTGTGTTCTCATAGTCATGCTAATCATCAGCCATTTTAACAGAATAAACCGAAATTTCGTAGTTTTAACATATACAAGAACAGTTAATTACATTATAAAACTATTGCAATCATCCTTGAGGATCATTTGGTTCGGGTTCGCTGGTATCGATCCTTTCGACCGTCGGCAGTAAAGATTCTTGATTTAATCTGTCCAAAAACGAACACAGCAGTTTCTTATTTAGGTGATCGGTTTGCGTCGTTTCCCTCGTTGGCTGCTCTTCTGTATTATTCATTTCTGTTTTGTTTTCATTATCCATCTCGACGACGATCGGCTTAATTAAAGGCGTGTCAGGCAAGGCGAGGTATGACGAATCGTTCGTTAATTTTCCGCTGTGTGGCGTTAGTGTTTTACTAACTTTCGATTTTTTTAATTACGCCAAAAATTCGCCAAATTTTAAAATATTTTAATTCTAATAATTATTATTAAATAAATAAACTGCGGTTATAATCTATATTTAAAGAAAATATTGCTAATATTTTTAATAATTAGTTAATGAATACTGCATTGCGTTTATTAGTGTTGCAAGTAGGAGGGCCGGATGGCCGAACGGTTAAGGTGGCTATCTACCGCTCTGGGGACCGAATCCGGACGGGCCGATAAATCCCTGAAGGCCCACCAGCGCTAAGCGGTTCCGTTCACTGAATACTGTGAGTTCGGTCGTGGGTTCGTGCCTCGCTCGGACGGGCTGGCCAAGCGGAGTTTTCCGGGTTTTCTCCATGTCTGTAATGCCTGAATAGGGGTCAGTTACCCGTAATATACTTCCCGGGAGGCATTATTCCCCGCGTAACTACCATCATAAACACATTACGTGACAATTACGTCACACTTTACCATGGGGAGATATAGTTGAGAAGCTCATCTCCAACTAGCTGATACAAGACAAGACAAATCCCAGGAATTTTGCTGAAGGTAGCCTTTCCGGATATGTCATGCCCGTTCCTCGTCACCTAGCCGCCTCATTGGTGACCTAGCCGAATCCGTAATGAACTTGCTAAAAAAAGGGCCCTCTTGGTGCCCACGGGGCGAAAAGAGTAGAAAATGAACCGAGGAAAAAAAATAGGTTCTAGAAGCGAATACATTTTTAAAAATCTTACTCATTATTTATTAATAATGTAATTACACGAGATTGAACTAATTTTAATATCACTGAGCTTGTTATGATGATAATGGTGAAAAATTAATTTTTAAACTTTAAAGAATTAAAAGCTATAGTTTCTAAAAACTATATCAACAACTGTTCCTTGTGTGATGGATGTGTTACTAAAGAAAACCAATAGCTTTTAATTCTTTAAAGTCTACAAAACCAGTAAAGGAAAACTAATTAAAGTAAATTTTAATTTTTGATTCGTCCAATTATAAAATTCCGTTTTTATAGTTATTCGCTTATGCTAACATATTTTTCTGTGTATATACTGTCGAGTGTTCTTAAAAGAGAGTTCTCTGGGATCACTGCATTAAGTCTTAGGAGTTCCATGCAATTTATAATACATTTGAAAACGTTAAATTTCATTGTCACATAATTCTACTGTATTTACATATTGGTTTCCATTCGTATATTATCAGTATTATTGTTCTATCGCATAATCAGTAAACACAGCATAGTCACATTACTTTCTCTTCTGTCCAGAAATAGATTTTAAAATATTTTTTTCCGCTTTGTAGTCACTACTAAGAAAGCTTTTCTTTTTAGCAATTTCATTATGATTTCGGCCAGGCCCACAATGTGGCGAAGGATGAGATCCAATATATCCGAAAAATTCCTGGGGTTTCTTCGACCCATCCAAGTTTCTCAGAGCGATAAGCTATCATCTGAACTTCTCGGGCATTCGGCTGTTCTCAGAAATGTGAAAAGATGCAAATATCCTTGCTCCAAAATTTCTGAATGCTGTCTAATGGGATATGCAGTATAAAAACAAGTACAGTAACACCCTGAAGTAAGGTCGCGTGACCTCTGAAATATGGTCGCTACTCACTTCTTATCTTGTTCCCTCGAGATGAAGGCCTATATGTGATCTGCGCTGTTTGTTCATACAATGAAAACTCGTTAAATCGAATTTGAAAGATAAAGAAATCCCGACTTTAAGTTAACTAGTTTAAGATACAATTTTCTCAAATGTTTCTGTGGTCATAAATTTCCCGTTATTAAGCAGTTTTTCAATAATCTGTTTTTTCAGTCTTATACAGTTTATGACACGTTTGAAGGTAAACACTTTCATTGCTCCCCTTGTGTCCAATTAGAATGACAGTAACACTATCAGTAAAAGGATTTCGATGCGAGGTTTAATGGTGTTGTGTTTGGAATGAAGCCGTAGTGTTTATTTATCTTAATCATTTTTATTCACACGAAATATAAGAGAAAAGAAAGATTGAGGACCTATCAAAGGACGGAAGTACACGGAAAAATAGATTTGCGTTAAAAGTACCAATAAGTCGACTTTTGACGTCCGTTTATTCAAAACCTGACTAATGAAAGATTTCACAAAATCTCAACAAATACTATAGTGTAGAGAGCGCTAGCGCCGTGTGCCTTGGGCGCTGATGTACCATAAGATTAAAGATGGACCCTTATAAAGCCCGAGAAAACGAGTCAATATCGATACAAATTTTCCTGTAATCAAAGGGTGGACGCAAGGTCAGACCTTTTGACGAACCTTCGATTGCAAGTAAATTTCCTGCGATATCGACTAGTTTACACTGACTGATGCTCTAAAAACATCACCTACACGGCGCGTTTTACTTTCCATGCTCTGCTAACGGGAATTCCTCTAATGTAAAACTTAGAGGATAAAATCGGGAAAATGCTCTATTAAGCTAACTGCTCTCTTATCCGTTACTCTGTTAAGTAGACTTTTTTTTTTTTTAAATCTTTCCGCCCTGTGTGCACTAAGAGAGCCTCTTTTATCAAGCCCATATGGGTTCGACCAGGCCCACAATGGGGCGACCGGGTTGTGAGGAACGGGGCCCGACATATCCGAAAAATTCCTCTGGATTTTTCTACCCATCCGGATTCGAACCCGGATTCCGCAGAGGGGTAGGCTGCCACCTTGACCGCTCCTGTAAAATAGACTCAACTATATTATTTATTATTATTATTTTTAATTTATTACACAATATATAATTTCACATTTTATTATATTTCGAATAAAATACGATTAATATCAATTTTTATTTATTTTTTGGACGACGCCTTCGACAATTCGTTTACCTTCTTCGAACAAACATTCGATACTCCGACTCGAGAACACGATTTCCGAATGCACTCGATGATCCATACACATTGAACTCCAGTCCAATCGATACGTTACTATTAATGTAAACTAAAACCCAATCAATACTTTTACAATTTCGTACGAATTTGTTTAATTTTCTCCAACTCATTATGAAGGAATGAAAATGTCAGCCGACGAACTAGTGCCGTGACGTCACAGCAGCGAGGTCGGGGAAGAAGGCAAGATGGCGACTACTCAACACGCTTGTTATTATGCGTTGTTAGCACTGGCGGAAGAATTTCGCACCATGAATCCACCGAATATAAGGAATTGCATTCAGTGTCTGGTTTCCGTCTTTAATCTTAAGCTACATCAAAGAGTAGAAGCGCGAACTCACTTGCAACTCGGTAATATACTGCTTCAATATACGAAGAATACCGACTTGGCACAGTCCCATTTAGAAAAAGCGGTGAGTATTACGTTTACCATTGACTTTAAAGTTTAATTATATAATTAAATAATTGTTATTTTCCATATATTTAATCGTGTTACGTCATACGATGTACTGTAAATAGGGCAATCGTTGCGGGGAAGCCTACTTTACATCAATATCAACAGATATATTATTAACTATTAATAAGTTACTGGCGTAATTTATTAATGAAAGGTGTAGTTTAATTAAATGTAGCGTTTAATTGTGCATCAAATATTTAAATTAATTCATAAAAATGACAATAAATCCCTTTTGTCAGACCCTTGTTTATATGGTAGTAATGTATACAATGCTAATTTATTAAATGGCAGTGTTGCCAGTCTTCTTTGGTGAAATCCCCCTAAACGGTCCAAAATTTCCCCAAAATGGCTTTGCTCGGTTGCGATGTGCGTAAAAATTCGTCTTTTGACGATCCAGAGAAACAAATTTTCACTTTAGGGTGCGGGTGCATGCAAGCGTGATGAAGCCACCCGCTCCGGATCTGATCCTGCCATAAGGGTGCGACTGTGCAGACGCAAGAAAGCTATAATGTGTGGCGAGAAGAGGTGAGAAGACAATAAATATCAAACCCTGTCAAATATATGCAAGAACTAGAAATTCACTCCTGCCGGCAATATTTTGTGCTTGTCTCTTGTGCATGTTTTTCCTTTGCAAGAACTATATTGCTTGCAACCTCTCGCTACTAAATTCTCGTCTGCACAGTCGCACCCTAAGATTCTTGTGCGAGAACAGTGCGACTTTTGGAAGGTCCTGCTTATCGCCGAAACTCCACTAACTGATATGGACAGACTTTACATTTTCCCTCTAAATTTTTCCATTAACCTATTTCTCCCCTAAATTTTCCCATCCTGCTGATTCCCCTAAATTTATAGGGGGATCAGCAGGATGAGCAAGTTGACATTACATTAAATAGTTCTGTCTCAATTTTATGAATGAATTCCATAAACCGATTCCTGATTTCTGTTAGTGTAAACATTTATTAAATAAAAGAAAAATATAAACTGGATCTGTAACATCTTACTATATTCAATTCGTTCTGTAATGATCGGTGATCTAGAAGTATTAATATACAAAACTTGTACGTGAATGGAGAGAATTGTTGACAAATGTAGATGAATATGATAACTGTATTACTCGACATCTAACACGGAATAATACGCAAAAAAGTCTTTAGCGAAAATGATATATACAGCAGTTAGACATAGGTGAAGAATGGATGGAAAGTACTTAGGCAGAGAGACTCGTCAATGTGGAATATGTCCATCTTGAACCATAATGCAGGCACTCACAATGTTGTGACGGGCTGGTTGCTGACTGTCTCCGACTTTTTCTATAGCTATCGCCATTAGCAATTGTGTCCAGAGCCGTAACTAGCCATTCTTGTGCCCTGTGCAAGAATTTGCATTTAGGCCCCTTAATTTATTTGGTTTTGGGAAAATAATAAAACAAATACATTACAATAGATTTTTAATAAGATTTATTTTAATTGAATTTTTCTGGCTTTCATTTCAGCAAATTCATTAATTACACCATCATAATTAATATTTTTAACGATATTGTATTCTATTGAAATAATAGAAATATTGGATAATCGTTCTTGTCCGATAGTTGATCTTAAATAATTTTTTATTAAGTTTAACTTGCTAAAACTTCTCTCGCACGAAGCAATAGAAACGGGAAGAGTTAGAAATATTCGAAGAGCGACATTGATATTTGGGTAAGACTCAATTAAACCAAAATCATGAAGAGCCTGTAGAATATTAAGCGGAGATGCAGTTTCTATATTTTGTATAAGAGTCGTTACTTCAAAATTAAAACTTTCAATTTCACTTGTGAATTCGTACTTTTTTAAATCTTTGCTATATTTAATAGCGAGATCTGCAGCCGATTTTTTTAAATCAGCAAACTCATGCATTGTAAAGACCAGCCACAGCGAAAGCAAAAATCGTCACAGATAGTTTTCATTTTTTCATAACGCCAATCTATTTGACACAATAGAGTGTCAAGAACACTGTAAATTTGTATTTTAAATAATTTTTCGGGTGTCAAGTTACTTCCTTCATCTGGTGTTTTATCTATTTCCATTATCTTAACTCTTTTTTTTCGTTTATTAAGAAATCCCTTTTCTATACTTTTTGGTTTGTTTTAAGAATATGATCAATAATAGCATCTGTTAATATTGTTGGCCATAAAGCTATATCATTTATTACTTCCATGTATCTATATATATCGAAGCGTTTTTTTGGACTATTTCTATCTTCTGCGTTTTCGCAATCCCTTTTTTCAGTAGCATTTTAAAGACTGCGGGAGCCCCTTCGGGGCCCTACGCGCCCGCATAGTTCGCTTACCGCTTAATCCGCCGTTCAGGTATACACCACATATGCGTACCACTATAAAGCAAAAAATGATGTCAGAATTTCTGCACGCCTTTTACAACCTCGAGACTAAGATTTTATTCGGGAGTTACCGTTTTCAATTTAGTAATTTTAAAAAAATCCTCGGGCAGATTTATTTTTGTTACAAAATGTTACCTTTACAGATTTCTAGCTCTGCACACTGTAGAAAAATCTAGAAATACAGTTTTGTATATCGTAATAATATTAGTAGTTGCCAGAGAGCTCTATAAAGTAGAGAAAAATCTGTAAATTTGAAAACTATAAACATAAATTTAAATTTCTCAAAAAATAAATTAAAAAATCTCAAAAGTCGCTACTTTTGGCTGATTTGTCTGAGGTCTCCGCTACCTCACTACGTCCCTCTAAAAGTCGCCACAGTTGGGAACACTGGTGAGCAGACATCTAGGGTCTAAGTAAGGCGAAATGTAATCGCCAAACCGCGCTGCAGAAAGGCAGAAAAATTTTAAATTTAAAAATATAATTTCTTGTGAACAGCAGTTTGGGCCCCCCTTCCAAGTGGGCCCTGTGCGGGTGCACCTGTTGCACCTGCCTAGTTACGGCTCTGATTGTGTCTGTCTTTAAGTTTTGGACTTTGTGTATTCAGTTCGTTACTATAAATAGTTCATTCTCTATTGAAGTATGAAATAATACAAATGTTATCATAGCTGCACATTTTTACTTTCCTGGCTATTATATCAATATATAACAGAGAAAAAGTATGGCAGTCGGTTTAAAAATGACCCTCTGAGATTTTTTACACTTTTGGACTCGGGATCTTGAAATTTTTAAAATAAAATATCATAACAGATGGTTCTACACACAATTTTAAATTTTTTTGCTGGGAAAGTTATGCAACTCATTGCTAGATTTTTATTTAATGCTAAAATATATATTGTATTTATTATAATACATAATTTAGTAAACTTTTATATATTAAATTCAGTGATAAGTAAATTGTGTCATGAAGCAGTTTTAAGTGTGCTGTGAGATGAATAAAAAATTTAAATGACAAAATGTTAAAATTTAAAAAAAAATAAAATGTACTTCTGTGTTATCAGTTATATTTCAGAAGGTCATATGCTTGCATTAAAGAGGGAAAAATGTCATGGAGGAAGAATGAGTAGAGTGACTGATTGTTTTATTGTTCTGCAGCAGTAATCGATCAGGAAAACTTATTCTACTGGTTACAAGAAAAGTGCTAAAGCATGTTCTGTGAACAACCTATTGACCAGTCCAGTAATATTTAATAATAATGTGCTGTAGGTTCAAAAGGGTTATAAACTACTGGTTCAATTCATTGAAGAATGATTTGAATATAGCAAGAAATTGCAGATCTATCTTATTTTTGTCTTTTATTTGATAAATATTTACACTGACAGAAGTTAGGAATTGATTTATTTTATTTGTTGAATTCTAATTTCATTTATAGTGTTTTCTTTGTACTGAGTATACTTTATAGCAGTGATGAGCAACCTTTACTGGATGTAGCCATGACCGAGATTTCCAACAAACAGCCACATGCAATTTTTTTCTTAAAGAGTCATCGACTTTAAAGCCTGCTGAGTATTTGTTAACCTTCAGTACATTAGATATGAAAATAATACATGCTAACTAATAATATGTAATTTATTCTTACCTTTATACTGGTCAAGTTTAGTTTGAATGGGTTTCATTGTGAACATCAGCTTAATTAGGGTTGTGTAATAGCAAGAGGTAGAAAACAGGAAAATGAATTACATTGACAAAACCCAGGGGTCATAAATTAGGACTGCAAGAACAGGGGTTGCTCATTACTGCTTTATACTGTTATTTTAATTTGTATTATTGTATGTAGGACTGGCTGGAGGGCAGTGTGAATGGTGCAACCGCACAAAATTCTGCATGATCCAACTCTTGAGAAATTAAAAAATTGTCATTTCATTATTTGCTAATTTAACTAATTTTCACTAATCTATTTAACAGATGGTATGTTTATCATGAAAATATTATTTTGTTGTTTGAAACCACTTTTTTTTTTGTTGTTGTTGTTATTATTAAAAGGTCACTTTTTCTTGGTGTATCCTTTTGGTTGTTAGTATAATGCTTCACCATTTTTTTATTTCAAGTATTTCTGTTTGTCCCAGTTCAAAACAAACAAATAATCAAAAATCCCTGCTCAGAAAATAATAGTTTTCAAAAAGTAAAATAATTTCTTTATTTCAATAATGCATTATTTATTTTCTTAAATGTATTCATTTTGACAAACTTTTTCGTGTAATTAAAACTGAAATTATACACTAGATATTTTTCAAAATATAATTTCTATTTTGAATTCATTAAATTAAAATTTTTTTTTAAATTAAATATCAAAAGATTTTTATGAATATAAGAAAGACAATACTAATTACTGTACATTAAATGATCTATTTTAATGATATACATACAGTACATATGTGCAGGGTGTTTGGAAAGGATGTTGCAAAAATGCAGCTGTGAGTTCTATGATGCAAAGTAAGCAAAAAATGTTCTATGACTACCAAGTTGCAAATGCAATTGTTATGGAAATATTGGTAATCGAAATGACAGCACAGAGTTTGCGCACAATATATTTTACATTGTATTTACTGTACATTATAATTATAAACACGTAACGTCAGATGACATTTGCTCATCCAAGAACATTGTTATGAAAATATAACAAACGTGGATGCTATTGAAGTTCTCACTTCGTTTTCTCCTGGAGATATCGAAGATTATTATTGCATTAATAATTAACTAATTAACTGACGTGAACTAAAAGCAAGATTGCAAACACGTGTACTGAAGCAAAAATAAATATCCGACAAACACCAAGTGTATTCTTATGTAGGTGTGCATAATGATGACGATTCATTGACGTTGATAAAGGATCAAATGTGATTGTTTTTGCAATTTTATAAAATAAACTTCTAGTGTGAAACTTTTCGTATGCTTATACTGGTACATTATGTATAAAGTTGTAATGGACATTTTTATAATGTAAAATAGTTCATGCGCAAACTCTACAGTGTGTGTGTTTCTTCCTTACAGTATATGGAAAATGCTAGTAAAAACAGGAAAAGAAAAGAAACTTGGAAAAATGTCTATATTTTACAGAAAGTATACTAAACTGAAAGAATGGTTGATTTTTTGATTAAAAAAAAATAGACAAACAAACAGATAGGCTGCCATAAACTATGAAATGTGCTGAAAATGTTGACGTGCTTATGAAATCCTTCCTAGCTTCTAATAATTGGGTGAAGACCCTTATAAATAAGCAGCATTTTGACACAAAACACTTGTACTTGGTGCATCATTTGGGCAATTAACTCGTCTTGGGTAATAAATATCTCAATGTTATACAGCAGTTGATGTAGTGTTATGGTAATTACCTCAGTGGTGCATATCCTTTTCTTCAATTAATTTCAGAGAAAGAATCCCCAGCATAGCTCTGCAACAGTGTGCTTGCACCCTGGTAGTCATAAAACATTTATTACATAATTTGCATTGTAGAAGTGGTGTCCAGTGTATATTATTGGTTATTTATTTAAATATAAAATTACAGTTTTATGTTACTTTTGGTAGACTTTTGGTCTGTTAAAACTGGTTTCTCATAATGTTTTTTAAAACACATTAGTATCTTTTAAAAACATTTAAATCCATATTTACTTTATGAATTTAACTAACTTTTACCTTGATTTTAATTGGCAATATTTTGATTAAAATTAGCTAACATATTTCAGAAATTTACTTATAATATTTGCAGATTAAGAATAATAAAATGATATATTGTCAAACAAAGCAAATTAGTTCTCTTAATATTGATCAACATGAAAAATTCACTTAATCCCTAGTATCTTCAGATTTTCCACTATGTGCTCAGTTCCAAAACTGTTGTGAAGCATAGTGCTTCCATCAATAGACATCCAGATGTATATAAACAGCTATAGTTGTCATGGCAGTCAAGCTAAGATTGCTGTTGTTTTACCCAATGACAGGCTCGGTTTCCCCAAAAGCACTTAGAGTTGATACTTGGTGTAAGTTAGTGAGCTTTAATAAAGCAGATTTTTCAGTTTATAAGTTTTTGAATTGGAATTTTATTTATTATTTGCGTAAATGTTATTTTGAAGAAAAATGATATTAATAAATTAGGTCAATATTTAAAAACATTATTTCTGATAAAACAACAATGAAGAATTTACTTATGCGATAAATATCTCATATGCATTCTTTCCAAAAAAAAAAAATAATAATAATAATAAGTTTAATAAGTTAAGAATTATAATTTTTTCAACTTGGGAGTGCTTTTAAATGAAAAAATAAAAGAAAATAAATGCAGTACAACATAATTCATTTTACAAAAGTATGAAATAATCAAGAATGACACAGAAAATATAGATTTAATTTTGAATTTGTGGATCTTAATAAACAGGCAATTCAATTCTTTTGCTAATGGATTTATATACAATGAATTTATTCTTATATTTCACTCATCCTCAGAAATTTTTCACAGATTAAAGTGTACATCAAGGGCATTCAGAAAGTTCACAGAAAGTGGTTATTATTTGTAAACAGAATGCTAAATTTATAATTAATCAATGCAAGCGTAAACTTGTTGAGACTTGTTTTATCAGATATCTAGCCCATCAGATATCTGTTTTATTCCCCCCACCAAAAAAAAAGGCATTAAATGCATCCATTGGCAATCGATAGATTAAGTGAAATGTTCTGTAGTGCAGTGGCTAGAATCAAAGAGCATCAGTTTTTATCAGAAGGTTTAAAAGGGTGGTGACAATGTATGTAAGGATGAAGTTAACTTCTTATAGATAAAGCAGTATGTGATTTTATTGTCATTTAATATTACATCAATTACAATAATTATATATTCTAAAGGAAACAGAAAAATTTTATGCTGAACAATTTAACTTTCCCAATTTTACATTTATTAAAATAAATTATTGATAATGTACAATATATATTATGTAGATCAGTGATTTAGCTAGGCTCTGCAGAATCCTGCAATGTGGTGGCTCATCAAGAAAGGGGAGATGGGAATTTTTTCCTGGCCTGGAGAAAACTTGGGTTGTTTCTATCCCTATAAATCAATGCTATTTTTACGAAAAATGAAATGTTTAAGACTGCTATTTATTAATAAAGAAACATTCTATGTATTTCATTTATTCAAAAGAAAAAGAAAGGGAACCCATTCTACCTCTGCATTCTGTGCAAAGCTTTCAGCAGTTGTGTCTATACTACTTGGATGTTTTAAAAAAAAATTAATGTCATTACTTCAAAATTTGATTTGATCTTTTACCATTCATACTCTGCCATATTAATTCTAAATTTATTTTAAACATAGGCTATAATATATAGTAAATGTCATCTCATTATTATTATTATTATTTATTATATGACTACAACATAAATTTGACTCAATATAATATATGTCAAATGATTGCCAGATTTTCGGGCTACTTTACCGTTACTATTAATGATTAAATATTACATAATTTGGTACTAGAAGTAGGCGTTTGGTGCCATCTCTTATTAAATTTAATAATTATAATTAAATTAATGTAGAAATAGTGATTGAGATAGAGAACTAGAAATGACAATAATTTAGCGTTCGTAATCGTCTTGATAGAATGATAATGTTCCCGCCTTCGTAATGAAATGTAACATCTTTTTTGTCCTTTCTTACTTTCGCGCCATCTCTAACTGTCGTCTTTTTCACTTCTCCCCTTACTCGCCTTTTCTCTCTCGTTCTCCTCGTCTCCTCACAACCCCTCGTAAATTTATTGTCTTAACGGTTTAGGAATGTTACTCGTCTAAACCCCACATTAATATATATTAAATAATTTAGAATATTCAGGGAGAAAATAATCGGGCTTTTAGATGTTTACATATTTATATAATAAAAATTATTTGAATATATTATTTAAAATTGATTTTTGTTATCATATTATAATTTATTTTAAATTTTATTTTACAGTGGTTCCTGTCCCAGAATGTATCCTTTCAATCCAAAATAAATTTACTTTTTTTATAATTTAAAAGGAAAAATTCATTTTTCAATACACTAATTTATTTATAATAAGATATGAAATTTACAGAATTGTTGTTTTTGTTCTAGTTTCTTGTTAATTCAAAATTTACTGAATTTCCTTGATTCTATTGAAATAGATAAGTGACGAAATAAAGTTTGAAATTGCCAGTGTTTTGGCTGAATTATATGAAAGAAAGGTAAGAATATTCATATAAATGATGTAAAATAATTTATTTATTTAATTTATAACACAGTTGAACCTCCAATAAGGCCACATCTAAACAGCAACCATTTTTCCAAGAACATTTATTTTTTTTTAACAAAAATGTATACAAAATAGCCACCAATAGTTACTCATCCCCAGTCCTGGCCACTAAATATCCTATTTTTAACTTATTCTCTCACTTATCTCAAAATGGCATGTAGAACAAAATTAGTCATTATTAATAAGATAGCCAGTTTGGCTACCTACTGGCTTCTTAGTAGTTTTAATTAACTTAGCTGTAAAACATTAAAAGAAACAATTCAAGAACTATATTTAACTTTGTAGACAACTATAAAAAAAATTCTGTACAAAAGTTCTTCTAGAATGTGCCAAGAACTCTTAAAAATCAGATATATAGCAAGCTTTTGTAAGCTATGACTTTTGTTCAAATATGTAAAGAAGGAATGATGTCTTCTGGGGTTGATGACAATTAAGAAAAGTTCTTGGTGTTGAAATATATTTAGAACAGAAAGATTTATACTGTGGCTACTCTTCATTGGGGCTCCAACTCCAACACTGGACACCCTCTACGAAAATGCTATCATTTCATAACTTAAGTATGCTTTTCCTGTTTGGGGACTTGACCTTCATGATGTCAGATTTTGGTGATTTTCGTGGAGTATGTTTATTTTGCACCCATATGAAGCCCTGCCAAAGTGTTTTGCAAATTTATTATTTTTGGTGATACTAATTTTCAAATTTTGACTTTTTGGGAAATCTGTTTTACTTGTATGCATGTATCTCGGAAAGTACGTATGATATAGAGATATGATTTGTTGCATTTTGTAAGAAAAGGAACAAGGAGCAATAGTTTATAGTTCATTTTTGATTCAAACATTTTTTTTTTATACAAAGTTTTCAAACATTCAAAGTTGAATAGCTCAAAATACCCCCATTTATTTTGCATGCTTTCACATATTTTTTACTCGTACCTTTGGCCCACCAGTGGCCAAGTGGTCTTTATTTGAAGTTCGATCGTGGGTTCGCATCTTGCTCGGACAGGCTGGCCACGTTGAGTTTTCCGGGTTTTCTCCACGTCTGTAATGCCTAAATAGGGCATTACAGTTTCCCTTAAAAAGATCTCCCGGAAGTCATTTTCCCTAGGCAGATCACCCAAGTGTTTCATTGTCATAACTAAATAAACAAACAAACTCATACCTTTGTTCTACCGAATGGCAAGCTTTGGTAGAGGTAATTTTTCATTTAATTAATTAAGAAAGAAAAGTCAAGTCAAAATTTTGGTGCACTACCTGTACAAAGCATATGGGGCACTTGACTAGGAGTAGGAGATTGGTCTGATATTGCATGTGTAAGTGTACAATGACAACATGCCCTCTACTTCATTTCAAATCACCCTTCCCACTCACTGGTCCAGGTCATAGTAATGAACTTGGAGCCTTTGGAAGAATTATGAATGTAAAATTCGAACATGATTTATTTCTTCTTCATTATAGGAACGGATTGATCTTTATCAGTTTCTCATCGATGATTTCATTTCCACAGTTTCTCACTTTGGAAACACAGTGACCTGTATTGAAACAGCTCTGAAAAGAAAAACTGGTAAAAATGTTGGCAATCAATTTAGTACATTTTTATGGGCATATCCACTTTCAGTAGGCAACTTATCAGGTAACTCTCTGGATTATCTTTGACATCTATAGACTCTGAGATTGTTGTTATCCTGATGATTTTTACAGGCATTGGCACTGACTTGAAGTATTCTGACTGTCGTTTTGCAATGTAATTACATTTGGCTTTGACAAGTATTGCACACTATAAATTTATCTACAAAAGTCTTCAGTATTATTTGTCATTCTTTCAAGTGAATAGCAGTCAACTTTAACCCACTGATTATATATAATGTTATCAATAAAATTAGAGTGGAAGAGTTGGAAAAGGGTTTTCTTGAGATCCTGAACACTGGGATATCTCTCGCCACTGCCTAAATGGCTACAAGGCTTGGACATAAGTAGTAGAGAGACAGTTTTGATAGCGTTAATATCTTGAAAATATCTTGTTATAAAAAGTTTTGATAGCACTTAAAGGAATGCTGCCTATCAGGGGGACTTAATTGGGTCACTTTTGAGCCTGCAAACATTAGCTTAAAATTCTGATGGATAAGGTGCACACAGACAGAATGAATACTAGAGGTATTACAAATACAATTTAGCAGGTACTGTTCACAAAACTAAGAAATCAACTTTAATTAATGTCAGTTTCATGTTGACACTTCTCTTTGGAGGCTTCATAAATTTCTATTGTATTATTTAACACCAGTCTTTTCTGTTTTTCATGTTTTCCACCCACCTTCTCACTCTTCAATTCAATATAGTATATTATTTATTATGGTAAGGACTACTTTAACAATTTTTTATTCTGATTGATTGTTATGTAAATTATATATTGGAATTCCATTGATCAGTAGTAACAATAATAAAAATGATTAATTTTATTCTTCTAATATAAGTCTTTTGCTTTTTAATTTTTAAAATTATTATTATTAAATTGACCAAAAAAGATAATGTATACAACTGTCTGTTGGCATTATGTAAAAAATAATTTGATTTGAGAGTAGTTTTGATAGTATATAACTGTTCTCTTCAGGCAGATTTGTTCATGTATGTAAAGCCGACAGACAGTAGTATAAGTTATCTTTTTCTACTAATATTTGGTATGTGTTGCTATTTAAAACTCTTATTAAATTGACCTGAAAAAATTACTAAAAATAGGTCATAATTGTTAAGAAAACTTCATTAACTTCTTATACTGAAGTGTTTTTTTTTTTTATTAAATTCTCCAGTATTTTCCAGTTTAATTTGAAATAGATTCAAAAATTATCTTTAATCTTATATAAATCTGTTTCTATAAGATGTTTATTCTGTACATAAATTTATAAATTTTACTTGTGATTGATTATCAAACTAACACACATTATTATGCAGTATTTTATCATTCTATTAAAAAACAAAACATATTAGAGAATAGAAAAAAAAGTTGAACTACATGATTAATTTGATTAAAAAAATAAGTTCTTTAAATATTTTTTTGTTTTTTAATGACATATTTAGAGAAAATTAATAACAATAATTTAAATTTTGCAAATCTCTGTACATAGTTATTCAATTATATTTATACTTTTGAGAATATATTTTTTTGAGGGGGAAATCATCTACCTCTAATGCAACAAGTTGCATTGTAGGTATTTCACTTTCTGGCAGCTTGCTGCCTTGTCCATTACTGATGAAAATACAGAAATAAAGCTTTATAATTTGCTAAATCACAACACAGAGTATTGATAAGGGGTGATTAACTACTTTCTACCATTGCTGAGGATAAACTAGCCACTGTGGTTAATCAGTCAAATTATTCAGTGCATCTCTAACAATGTGTGAAGTTTAATAACTGTTTATTTTTGAAGATGATCCATTAATCAGGTCAAAAACATTAGTATTACTTAAACTTTACCTACTGTTAAAGGTCATTGATTAATTCAATATCATTGCTGTTACCAAATCAAGAACATGTCTTCAAAAGTTTAAAGAAAGTGAATTTTTATTAATTGTTTAAAAAAAAATACACAAGCTTTATTGAAAGTTTGATGTAAATCTTTTAGTTGAATGCTTGTATTTTAATTAATTCTATCATATGAAATGAATTTGTTTTAAACAAATATATTTTGATCTATAACTGCTTTAGTAAGATATTTACATTTCATTAGGTTTTAATCAATTGAAAAATGGACTTATTCAACCTCAAAATTACAAAATATTGTTTGAGTGTTTCAAGTTGCCATGAAGACCCATATGTGAAAACATAAAAACAAAATCCAATCACCATAATTATGATGACTATGGTTTTTTCCTCATTCTTATACATCTTCCTCTATGGAAAATTCTATTTTATATTCTCAATGATGATTACAGTAGTCCAAAAGCACTTAACATTTTATAAGGATATACTACTCAAATACCTTATAAACTGCAGCCAAATTTATTAACAATTTCAAAAGTTTTTGGTCATCTTTAATGACCTTTATCAAGAACAAACGAAAATCGAATGCTGACTGATTTGTATTAACGATAAATGCGTAATGATAAATTATAAGGTATTTGAGTAGTATATCCTTGTTACGATATGCAGTTTACAAAGAGATTAAATATGGCATTTATTGTTAATAGAAATCAGTCATCATTCAATTTCCATTCAATCTTGATAAAGGTCATTAAAGATGACCGAAAATGTTTGAAATTGTTAATAAATTTGGCTGCAGTTTATAAGGTATTTAAGTAGTATATCCTTGTTACGATATGCAGTCTACGAAGAGACTTAACACTTTATTTTATAATTTTGGATTTGCTCTATAAAGCATTTTTTTTTTTTTTTTTTTGTTAAATACCAGGTATTATGCAGAACTTATCTAGCATACTATTTATTCGTCCTTCAAGATCACCAAAAGTGGGATAAGTGGCATATTGGAAATATAGAATGTATGTAAAGCCAGCTGTAGACATTTGATGTTTGCCCAATGCCAAGCAAACACTTGACCTGTACTGAGTACCGAGTAGCGTGAATGATTTACTCGCAAGTAATATTCTGAATTTACCATGAACAACTCCTTGTTGTTATATTGTACCAAATCAAAGGGAACAAATAGGCAATTATTTGGCAATTGGCATATATCAAATGCGTGAAACCAGCTTAATGTATATTTGCCATTCATTCCACATTTATAAATTTGAATGTGTATTTTATGTTAAAAATAATAATACTGTTCTATATTTCCAATATTCTATTTATTTCATTTTTGGTGATCCTGAAGATCTCTACAAACAACTGCCGAGAATGTTAAGATGAATAAACAGTATGCTGGCTAAGTTTCTGCATAATATCTGACATTTACATGATAGCACCAGTTTGTGAATGGCACAAGCATTTTTAGGTTTTTTTTTTCTTTTTTCATTTTAACTTATTTATTGAGACATCTATTAATAATAAAACTGCTCATTTGAATAACTTTAGAAATATAAAAGTTACATTAATTAATATAAAAAGTATTAAAAATGTCATTTTTAAAATAATTACTTTTTTCAATTACCAAGATTTATATTAAAGTTTTGTAAATAAATTTATAAAATTGAAATTTTCTTGTTTAACAGAAAAATAACTCATTAAATAATTTGTACTTTTTTTAGAACCAAACGCCTCTTGCCAAAACGATTCTGCAAAAAGCAATTGAAATATCTCAGCAGTCCGTGTTTTGGCATTGCCGTGCTCTTTTCCAGCTTGCGGTAAGTTCTACTTATTTATTTATCTAGAGCAAATAAGTCCTGCAGATTGCCAGTCCAAAGGATCGTAAGACAAAAAACTAAATCATAAAACAAATTGAATGTAATTTTCTATAAATTTCAATAAGATTAATTAATGAGTTGTGTTCAGAAACATTCATACTGTGATAAAATTCTTTATGATTTAAAAAAACAAAATCTAATTACAGATGTTCATTATAAAAAAGTATAAATACAACATAATAGAAGTAGACTATGGAAGGGATGTGACAAAATTATCACCAGTTGACTTAAGTCATGAAAGTCGTTATAGAAATTTATCAAATTATTCTATCTTTCATAAATGGATTTCTAAACAAAACACAAATTTTTGACTTATCTGTATATAGGTAAACAAGATAAATAGTTAATTCAATTAAACATTTTAAAAATTGATAATATTTTACAGTTTGTTGACATAAAAACAATTATTGAGGCAGAGCGTTAGCGAAGCCTCTTGTGTGGTTTGTAGAATTTAGTTCGTGCTCAAAGATTTGATCAGTGGATTTTGATTAAACTTTGCCATTTTACATTAATTACAATGAGGAATCCAAAAATGTAATAAAAATTGAGGGTTTTCGAGGTACAGTGGGGTCAAAAGGACAATGTCCATGGTTGCTAGCATGAGTGTGTGTGATTTTTATTTTGTTCTTTTTTATGTCAGCAGCAGCAAATGATTGTTGTAGCCTTCTGAAACAATGTTATTGACTTTGCTAGTGCTTCTACTCAATTCTTATTTCACATTTGGACAGAAAACAAACTGTCTAGTTAGAAAAACTAATGTCAACTGACTAGATGGTTTCTTCTCTAAGAATGCGAAGATACTTTTTTGGTGTATTGGTACTAAGAGTGCTACAGTGAGGAATACTTTGAAAAAAATTTGCAGTTAACAAGAGACTAAATTCATGTATGTATGTGTAAAAAGTGGAATTAATAATGTAAGAATACATAATATAATTATAATAATAATTTTCTTTTTCTGTTATATGTGTAATTTTTCATTCTGTATTTTACAATCTCGGTTTTGAGAGAAATAAAAGCATTGTAGCTGCTCCAAAATCATAATTGCAATTGTGCTTCCAATATTGATCTCCTGTAATTATTTAAAAAAATTTTTAAACAACTTTACAATAACAATGATTAAATGTTGAACACTTTCAATAAATTATTGTATAACATTATTTTTTACTTATAAAAAATAAATCAATTTTTATTAGTCATGTATCTCAATGTTCATATTTTGAGTGCTTTTATGAAACTGTTATTGTAACATATTTTTATAATAGTAAAACTTACTTTTGTTAGAGAATTTATTTCATCTTATGAATTACTTTTTAATAAATAATAATAGCAATTATAATTGAACTTAACTGCTTACAAAGTTCCTTTTTTCATCTTAATAATGCATCTGTTTTACTTTATATAGTATAAAAAGAAAAAAAAAATGAGACAAATAATTAAAGTTACTAAATGGCCAATGACAGGAGATTTAAACAAAAATGCTTGGTAAGAAGTGATGAATTATTGTTATGACAGCTATTTAATCTTTTATAAACTATTAATCACTTTTGCACTGTCCATCTGACATATATTACTGTAAGTGGATCAATTTACTGTGCACAATTTTTTAAAAAAATTGCATGCACAGTAAGAGTATTCACAATTTATAGCTCTTTTTGCTTTACTGGCTTTTGCAGCTTTCTTAAAAGTCACAAAAGCATCATCTCTCTTTATGTTGACTTCGTTAGTACAGATTCTACAGCAAAAGCATTTGGTTTAAAGGAAGCTGCTTTAGATCAACACTCACAGATTATTGAGATTCACCAATAGAGGGACTAGTTGTCATATTTTACCAAAATTGAAGAAAATAATTTCCTTAAAAGACAATAATGTTGACCAATAAAATGTCCAATAAAGATAGGTGAGAATTATGATTTTTGTAGTTGGCAATACTGAAAAGTTTTAGGTTTGTTACTTTACTGAATTTACCCAGTCCACATGCATGTTCATGATTCACAGCTTTTGTATAATCCAGCTCTTCTAAATGTGGAAAAAGCTCTCATCATGAATACCCCTAATAATCAAGGAAATTCAAAAATATAAGTTTTAGTTTGCTTTAAGGGAAGGAGTTTTCCTGTGAGTGATGTGACCGTCAATTTTTTTAAAACTGAATTTAATATTTAATGTGTTTCTGTTAAAAAATAAAAAATATTTTAATCCATATGGGTTTTGACAGAATTAGGAAACCACTTTTGGTAAAAGTAACTTGTTCTAAGCTTAAAACACATGGTTTGACTGTATTTTGACTATAATTCAAACGTATTGAAATCTCACTACATGGATGGTGATAAAGTATTAACTTGATATAAAGTAGTTTCAATATTATAAACAAAAATTAAGTCCAAGAAAAATACCATGAAGTGAATTACACCAAAAATATTGAAAAGTGTTGCTTATCAGAAATAATATGAATTACAAACAGATAAACAGATATGAATTATAAACAAATAATGATTTAGTAAATGTATCAGTTAAGCTTACACAGTCCATGTTATGTTTTATATCTTTGCAGTCAGTTATTTTAATGATTCGTTTTTAAAACTGCCAATTTTTTCTTGTGTAATGTAAACATAAATACATGGAAAATAATTAAATTCAAAATAAGATAAGGATTACAATTGGAAATGTTTATCTGATTTATTTATAAATTTTTTTTATTATCTTTTTACTTATTAAATCAAATTTTTAAGTTATATTTACTATTTAAGTATATTTGTGAATTACAGTAGAGCGTCGTTTATCCGAAAGCCAATCAACCGAAACGTCGGTTAACCAGCATTCCAGTCAGCAAATTTAAATTTCCACTAGTGCTATGGCGCTGCAATCTTTGCCTATGTCTTGGGCTACTCCAATATTTTTTTTGTTGGTGTGTGTGTTTTAGCTGGCAGCACTGGCACTTTTGTGTGGTGTTTTTCTGAGGACTGTGTGTCGGGACGTATTTTGTGCTGAATCGAAATCTGTTTCCATCGGGGTACATTAATTTTGGATATGTGAATTTTATACTTGTAACAGATCGTGCTGTAGTTGTTGTACTGTTTGCAAAGGCGAATAAATGTAAATGCGTTGTTCTCAGTGTTTCCGATAAACTTAAAATAATAGATCAGTTGAAGTGTGGTGCTAGTAGATCAAGATTAGCTCGGAAACATGGAGTTGGAAATGCCACAATATTGGAAATTAAAAAGAACAGTGATGCCATTAAAAAAATTACGTTAGGCTTAACATTGATGAAAATTCAATGCAAAGCGACATGCAACAGAGAAAAATTTCAACATGGGATAGGTTAATATATTTTTTCGTACATAATCGGTTATCCGAAAAATAAGTTATCCGAACAACCCCAGTCCCCAATTCATTTGGATAAACAACACTCTGCTGTACTTTGATTATTGGTGTTTTATTTTATGCTTACATTACTTAAAAATTCTCTCGTTTTATGCAATACATTAACAAGATTTTAACTGTAATATATTTTATATTTACGAAGGTCATTCTAAAAGTAAAGAACGTTTGCTTCTCTAGATATTTTTATTTAAGATAATGAAACAAAACTTATTTTACAATACATATGATACCTTAGCTATTTTTCTACATAGTCGCCATACAAATTTAAAAATTTGTCATAGCGTATCATCAGCTTTTCTATGCCTTCTGCACACTCAGTTACAGCCAAGTTTTTGAACCAGTCATTAATGGCCTCTTTCAGTTCGTTGTCACTTCCATAGTGATTCCTGGCCGAAAAAATCCTTCATTTTTGGGAAAAGATCGTAATCACTCAGAGCCAAGTCCAGGATATAAGAAAGATGTTCAAAACCGTCCCACTTAACACGTTCACGGTGTTACGAGGCACATGGGACTCATATGGACATGTCTAGTTAGGGTTACAGACATAATTGCTTGTTTTTCCATGGGGCAGTGCATATGTTTTGATAACATAATTCTACAAACATCATACTTGATATATCGATATTATTTTATTAGGTGCAATAAAATATATTAATTTAATAGTACGAAGTACGGGTGACTCATGTTGACCTGTATTAAAATAAACTACGAGTCATCCGTGACTCTTAACACCCAGCAGCTGCCTAAACGTTTATCTACTAACGTCATGAACATGTTAAACTGCTGAAACAAGTTTTTCGTCAACGCAGCAGCATGCAGACGTGTTATCCTGAAGAAGCACAATGCCTCTGGACAACAATCCCCGCCATTTGTTTCGAACTGAAGCTTCATTCATCACATTACCATAAACCTCAGTTATCTGTCTGTAAATTTTGGTAGGGTGGACTTTTTTAGCATTCAAAAAGCATATTACACTATGAACCTCTCACTTGGCAGGATCTTTAATTTTGTCACACATTTCAAAGTCACACTGTAAACAGTAAATGATCATTGTGGGTGGCTTGCTGTTAACATCAGATTGGTGCAAAAAAATGGGAAGGTCCATGACATGGCAGTGGGGTGGTGGGGAAAACTGCATGGCTTGTCAGATCAAAACGTTTTTTTCTTTTAGAATGATCCTCATACAACAGTGATGAAATGACACAATAGTAAGTGCAGTGAAACCTCTCATTTGTGACCATTTTCGAGGAAAATCAAAAGTGATCACATATGGGAGATGGACACAAAACAGAGACTGTCATTTATAACTTATTTTAACATGCAAATTCTGTAATACTGTAACAACTTGCAAAAACAATAAGAATATTTATTGAAAAAGTCTAAAACTATACACGTAAATACCCCAAATCCATCTTGGTAACAACATACCACAACTCGTGTGCATTTCAAATTACTTTGAATCTCTATACTGTACTTAATTGTTTGTTTTGTTTTCCTTATGGAATACCTGATGTTCATTACAAATGAACAAAAGTATTTGTATACATAACTATTTTTATTCCTTTTACTGGTTTTGGGTATTTGTGTGTTTAGTTTTATTCCAAACAGCCAGTTTTGAAGTGATGAATGTTTTAAGATATTTTAAGCAAGTAAACAAAAGACTATGTTTTGATAGATGTCTGTTTTGTTAATGATAAAGATGTTGATCAGTCGAAAGTTTTTGAACATTATTAATATCTTGATTTAGTTGATCATCCATAATTTGGATATCTGAGTTCAAACTTTTCATCAGCCAATCAGACACTTATAATTCCAATAACCATCTTTTGTTTAATATTTCTTATATATTTGCATTATATATAATCATCTATCATTAAGGATATTGATTTTCAGTTTTAAGATTAGATAAATATTATGTTTAAACTCCACACCAAGTATTATATAATAATAGCTACACACAGTTTGAGACAGTGTTAAAATCTTTTTTTTATAACACAAGTACTTTTAACAACACAAAATCATCATCAACAGGTTAACGAACATCTCAAATTTTGAATCACTATTTGAAATTTGAGAACTAGCTAATACTGTAATTTTTCAAATAAATGAACTATAATTGGTTATTATTACTTAAACATATTTTAATCCCGAAGATGTAATGCTGAAAATCTTTAATAGAGGAACAGGTACGGAAGAACAAGACAATTCAAAAGTTGAATTATATGCCAAAATTGAATCATACATGCAACTGTAAACAAAATTGTACATCATAAACAGAATGTAAACAACTACAAATTCTAACACAAATTCTTAATAAATAATGCTTTCATCGGGCTACATTACTTCAGATATTTAAGGACATTCGCAGAACATCTCAGATATTTGAAATAATGTGGCCCGACAAAGACTTTTGAATGAGGTTGAAAATGTTATTTACTAAAGAACCTGTACTGGAGGTTATAGAAAGCTTCATAAATGTAACTTGTGTTCTAGAATATATTTCTTTAATCTCTTAATATGAAAACTTATTATTTGATGTTTTGTGTTAATTGTACTCTAGAGCAGTGATTCTCAAAGTGGGGGTCGCAGAAAAATCGACGACATCAGTTTTTTTCAAATATTTTATAAATTTACTATGGACTCATATTTAGAAATAGTAAAAATAAAAAATAAATCAAATAATTTTTACTTAAATAAATTGCACATATAAATAATAAAAACAATATAAATATTTTAATACGAGCCTGAATATAACATTAAAAAATTTGTGCTTTATTGGGGAATCCCCCGAGCTTCCACTCCCCGCCTAAACTATGATAGAACAACACTGTCATTTGGAATGGTGTTCGCTAGCAGCACTGCATCTGTAAGCATGTCAAGATAGAAATATTTATATTCCATACAAAAAGTGCTCACTAACTAAACATTTCCATAGTATTTTATTGCCATAATATATCAAAATAAATGTAAGTAAAGTACTTTTATTTATTTATTTTTATTAGAAAAATTCCCACTTTTGAAGAAATAACATGATAAATAATTTAACAGTTAAATTAAGTGGGGCAGTTAAATTTTAACTGACCCACGTGGGATGCAGTGGATAGCTTGGTAATGCAAGTGTTAACTCTTTCAGGGACAAGGTTTGCAAGAGGAAAAAAGCTTACAGGGGCAGTAACGAAAACAAAATCACAATGTACAAACACCATTAACATTTCTTGGTTAAGTTCAAAATTGAATCTGTGAGCTCAAATACATTTCGAAACATCCACTACTATCTATTAGATGGCATTGCTAGTATGATTCCATGATTTTACCGCTTAAAATAAAATTACACAATAAAACATATGTGGTCTAAATTTTAGACCACCATCCTTGAAAGAGTTAATAATGAACAACCTATGCTAAAATACCTGTAATAACATCTTAAATAAAATTAATATAGCTCCACACAAAAAAAGAACTTTGTTTAATAATAATTTAAATTGATTTTTAAAACATTTAAATTTATTTTAGAAATTATTGCTGAAATATGGATAAATGGTTGAAAAGGAAAGTTATGAGTGTAGATGCAAAAGATCTTGCAGAGGCGGAAAGCAGTAAAATAAACAGAAATGGAATCAGCATTGGGACCAGCTCATGAAAAAAAAAGAGAACGTTTAATGAATCGTATTTACAATATGGATTTACATTTTCTGCCAGTACACATGACGAACAACTACCTTTATGCTTATTATGTAATGGTATTTTGGCGGCTGAAAGCATGAAGCCTTCTAAATTACTGAGGCATTTCAACATGAAACATGCTGCTTATTCCAAAAAAAAACCTATAGAATATTTTCAAAGTTTATTAAAGTCATCAAATCAAAGCAAATGTTTGTTAGAAAAGTATGACTTTACTCAGGAAGAATATCTTTTAGCATCTTACCAAGCATCATATCTAATAGCAAAAGCTAAAAAACCATATACAATTGGAGAAGAACTTGTTTTACCTACTGCAGTACAAATTACAGAAACCATTCATGGAAAAAAGTATGCAGATGAATTGGGTTTGCAAATTGTGTTTTGTCAGACATATTCAAGAAACTAAATGAACTGAATATGTCCCTGCAAGGTGAGAACACGAACATATTAATTTTGTATGATAAAATTTATGTGTTTATGAAGAAGATAAACTTATGGAAATCAAGTGTGGAAAGTGGCATGTTCACAATGTTTTCAAGTACATATGATTATATCACATAAAATAATTTGGACAATATTTTAATTAAGAAAATCATAATTGATCATTTGTCATATATGGAAGAGCAATTTTAAAATATTTTTTATCAGATTTCAATACTGAACAGTTTATCCAGGTGCAAAAACCATTCCTTGTAGAAATGGAACAAGTGAAACATCTCCCATTAAGTGACCAAGAAGAATTTGCCGAATTTAGTTGTAATACAAAACTTAAAACCAAGTTTAGTAAGCAAACATTGAATTCTTTTTGGCTTAGTGTGAAAACAGAGTATCCACTATGCGCTGAATTAGCATAGGTAGTTCTCTTACCATTTGTAACCACTTATTTATGCAAAAAGGCATTTTCAGTAATGACCAACATCAAAACAAAGCAGCGCTCTCGTCTTAGCAACATAGAAAATGCTATGAGACCTGCACTGACCGATACTAAACCCAGATTTAATTTATTGCGCCAAAATAAGCAGGCTCATCCATCACATTAAATTTAATTTAAAATATGTTTAGTAAACTCAATTAGTTAGTTAAGTTAATGTCAAAACATATACATAGAACATTTTGTTCAAAGATGTACCAAAGATAAGTTATTAATTTTTACTGATATTAAAAATAAATCTGCTATTAAAATTATGAGTGTTTCAATGCAATTAAACAAAAGAAATTAACTCCTGAATTTAAATTAACCCCCCTCTGGGATGTTTTTCTACACATATCCATTCTTTGGGGGGGTCCTTTGAAATTTTTAAGTGCAAAAGGGGGTCACGGACCAAAAAGTTTGAGAAACACTGCTCTAGTGCAACGAGGCTCTATACTTCCTATAAATTAATCGTGACATGTCTCATAATTTATTTTAAAGATTTAAAGAGAAAACTTAGAATCAGATACATTCTACTTTGCAAATGTTATCCAAATGAGTGTTTCTGACAAGAGTAATGCAATGCTTTGGACAGCTTTCTCTGACTTTATACGGACTTGTAAATGCTACAAACCATCCGTCGTGAATATTCATGAAATATAGAAATAAAATTGCGGATTCATGACGGGTCTTATGTAAATGCTATCAAAAGCAGTTTCATTATTATAATAAAAATACTGAATATTTCTGAATAATAATAAGTTATTAAATTAATTTAAAAATTTATTATAGACTGATAAACTTGCTATCTCATAATTTTAATAATTATAATTAATTAATCAGTTCAGAGTAACTTGTGAAAACTGAGCAAGAATTTTTAATTTGAGACAGCCAATTTGATAATCCAAAGAAAGCTATATGAGACACCAGTTATTATAATTATAGATACTAATATACAATAAAGTTTTTTATTTTATTATCTTGAGTGTAATGTATGATTGTCTGGAACTAGTTATAATAATAGAATTGATTATATTACAGTTTGAAATATTTCTTAACAGCACATTCATGCAGGAGAAAAGGATTACGTTCAAGCTTGTAACGTGCTTGGCGTGGGTGCAGAATATGCCCAGTTATCGGGTGCACAATATACTCGTATTTTGTTTCTGTTGAGTAAAGGAATGGTGAGTTATTTTTCTAACTACAAATCGTTATTATATGGTACTAAGTAATTTAAATCCAAAAATTTCTAAACTAAAGAAAATTTTTATTTACGTAGTTGCTGATGATCGACAGGAAATTTCAAGAAGTTCATCAAGTATTGACATTAGCAGGCCAATTAGTTGAACAATGGCAAGGCAGTAGCCATCAAAAAGAAGCATTAAAAGTCTTTTTTCTTGTATTACAAGTTTGTCATTATCTTACTGCTGGACAGGTATATATTGCATTTATCACTATAATTATATTCCTGTTATTTATTATATTATATTAAATGAATTATAAGTTGTAATAGTTATATTATGTATAGAGATAGGACATCTAAGCGCTAAAAATCACATAGTTATAAAGTTTAGAATTTTTAGTGCCTAGATGACATAGCTAAAAATTTATATACAATGTTGTTTGTCATGGTGGATTAGTTTCAGAAATGATTTCGATGGGGAAAACTCATTTTCATTGTACACAATTGTTATGAGTGTGAAAGTTTTATAGCTGTTTTGAAAGTTTATGGTTAGTAGACGTGTGGTTATGTCTTAATGAAATGATATGTAGTTGTGAATAGGAAAGAATGAAGTGAATACGGAAGAATCACCAATCTTAATTAATTTTAAATGGTGTTGTAATAAGAGAAGTCTATAATACGTAAAATAGATTAGTAAAAAATAATGGAAGAAGTAACTCAAGCAGGAATGACAAACCTATGACACATGCCCAAAGTGGCATGCTAGAAGAATTTGGGACTTGACAGATCATACAATTTTGTTTATTTTTTACTATGTATTTTCATAGATACTAAAGCTCTTGCATGTAAAAATGTTCTTATAAGCTTCATATGTTTATTTTGGCATGCAGATTTAAAAAGGTTTGCCATCCCTGAACTAGAACGATGACAAGAATAAATTGAAAAAGTAATGCCAAATAAAAAAGGCAGTGGTAACAAAAAGATGATGATAAAAAAAATTACAACACAAACACAAAAGATAGCAAAAGCTCTTTGCCAAGTGAGCTGCTATATTATAATCTTAGGAAGGATTATTCAAAAAGTTTTATATATTATATTTTCATTGAATGCATTCTTATTCTAAGTATTTTACTTTCCTGGCTGTTATGTATAACAGAGGGGAAGAATAGTGACTGGCAAAAAGTAACCTCCAAGATTTTTATATTTTTGGATTCAAAGAGCCTTGAAACATTGAGAAATGCAAAAAATTTGGAGGTTTTTTCTGTATATGGATGTTAATGTTTGTGTGGTGGGCAGAGGCACAATTTTGTTCATCCATTTTGAAGCTTAATAACACCTGTGCCTTTTGTCAAAAATTTCCAAAATTTTTCAGGGAGTTTGTGTATTAGGGCACCAATGCTGTTAAAGTTTGGTGTTTAAAGATTGAAGAGCTAGAGATAGAGAGGGATTACATGTCGCATCTCGAGTGGGGTTGGACATAAGGAAGATTATACTTGTTATTAGCGTCTACAATTTTTTATGAAATTCATCTCTGCCCTCGAAATTAAGCTTTTTGCCATTTTGTAATACAATATAAAAAGTTTTTTAAATAAACTCTTGTAACAGATGCTGCCAAACAAAATTTTAACTTTTTTGCCGTGAAAGTTATGCAACTCACTGCTGGATTATTTTCTTTCTCAAAATCATTTCCATAAAAATGATTGTCACAGTATATATATTACATTCACATCATAACAACTATAGTCATCATTGTTAAAATTGTTTCTGTTATATTTTAAATATACAAAAAATAGATATTTTTTTGTTTACATGTCCTAAAGTTCTTGGTTCTTTGGTTTCTATTCAAATTTTGAAAATTTGACTCTTGCAAAAAGAAATAGGTCACACATCCATGAGTCAGTTTAATGCATTACATAATTTTTATATTATGTAGCTTCATTTTATTTAATATTTTAGTTTAATTGTAATTTGTTGTTTCTACCTTATAATAACTAAAATGAAGATAGATTTGAAGCAGAAAAATTTATTAGAGAAAGACAACATTATTCAAAATGAAAAGTTGACTATAATTTTGATAATGATGATGATAATTTCATTGCATTTAGCTTAAAACCAAATTTGATTGATGATAAATCTGACTCCAATGAGATTGCACAAACAATCCCAGATTCCAGTTTTTGAGATTACAGTAGAGCGTCGTTTATCCGAAGGAATTTCAGTCAACAAATTTAAATTTTCGCCAGTGCTATGGCACTGTAATCTTTGGCTATGTCTTCGGCTACTCAAATATTTTACACGTTTTTGATACTAAATTAACTTCTGAAGTATAATTTTTTATTATTTTTATATTTTTCAATATATTTATTTTGTTTGTACAAAATAAAAAAAATAATTTTTAACGATACAATAGTCTTCGTTAGGCTTAACATCGACGAAAATTCAACGCGAAGCGACATGCAACGGAGAAAAATTTCAACACAGGATAAATTAATATATTTTTTCGTACATAATTGGTTATCCGAAAAATAAGTTATCCAACAATCCCAGTCCCCAATTGATTCGGATAAACGTCGCTCTACTGTATGTACAAACATAAAAATACTAAACCCGATAGTTATATATTAAAGCCAAACGATTGGCGGATTATATTGGGCTATATTACTACTATTATTATTAATTAAATGCTAAGTAATTTGGCACAAGAGGCAAGTGTTAGGTGCCATCTCTTGTGAAATTTAATAATTGTAATTAAATTAATATTTTAATGATTAATTCAGAAGCTTCTGGAAGAAAAGAATTGGCCTTACCATGCAGTCGTTATGCCAGTCATGCTACCTGGACCTTGGGTAACCAAGTATGCTTGTATCCAAATTAATAAGTTGTAGAAGCGAGGATCGGATGAAGGTCCGGATAGTGTAACTGGCAATGCAACTGTGTGGTAAACAGGAGTTGCAGTTTTGACAGGTTCGAGTCCTCCTTTGGGCCGATTCTTTTCTTAAGATTTTTCTTAAATTTAGCAAGAGATGGCACCTAACACTTGCCTCTAGTGCCAAATTACTTAGCATTTAATTAATAATAGTAGTAGTAATATAGCCTGATATAATCTGGCCATCGTTTGGCTTTTGATAGTATGTTCCAAAAGGAGTGATCTGCCACAGAATTTGATTTTGATGCTAAAATTCAAATAGAGATTTGAATTAAAATAAATGTAATTTCTTCATATAACCTGCAGAAAATTACTAAAATGAAAATAAAATGTCACAGAATTCAAACCTCCCAAGCTGCTGTCATCAAAAACACGTCACTTGACCCACAGTTAATTTAGGATTGTTATCTAATTGTTGTTTACTCAAAAATTTATTTTACTACTGTCTTCTACTTTGAAAGTTATTTAATAATAATTTAAATTACGTACAAGTATTACTTTAATTAAAGTAAAAAGCACTTTTTACATTTTGCAATTTGCCATTTTGATGTATTTGCTTTGCCGTTTAATGACATCGTCTTTAGTTTCAATTTCATTAGCAAAATATCAGAAAGTAATGCCATTGTGTGTAAACAAAACAAAATGTTACACAGTCTTGCTAGAGATATCATTTTATGTAAATGTATATAATTAATTCCAGAAATTCCTTAAATCCAATACAAAATGGAACACTTCACTGTATTATTTATTTTATTTTGTATTTGATATCATTGATTTTTAATAATATTTTCTATATTTCATTTAATATGTTTATGCTCCTGCGCATGTGACTTGATACGTAAATTTGTATTTTTCGAACACTTATAATTTCGAATTCGCTTTCTATTCCATTTATTAAGTTCTGTTCTAGAACCCAAAGATGGCCATTATACATGGTTGAAAACATTCGTTCCTTTAATAAACATTCCATTTTTTACTGGATTTAAGGTTTTTTTCAAATTAATTTTAGTAATTACATCCAGTTTTTGTATATAATTATTTTATCCATCAAAATTCACTTTATAACAGTAAAAAAGAGCAAGCGTTTAATCCTACTTACATTAAAATTACAAGTTAGTTTCCTTATTATCTATGAAACTGACCTAAACACTCATCATAAATGATTTTGAAAACTTCACCTTTCATTGGATAGAGTATTAATGTATAAAAGTAATAACAAATGCAAAATAGCTCAGAAAAATTAGGTAGGAAAATACACGAATATATATTTGAATATATAGTTAAAATTATTGATTACATTATATTTTGCTGTTGTCTAGTTTAATTTACTCTTTCATTGAGATTAATATAATTGGACATGAACATTTTTACATCTGATTTCATGAAATTGTTTAGAGAAATATTTCTGAGTCAATAAAATCTCAGAGTTTTTTTTGTTCTGGAAGATTAAAAATATTTTGATAAATAATTAGCATATTTAATTTAATCAAAAGTATATCAGACATTGATTTATTTGGATTTACACAGCCCATATTCATTCAGTTCATGGATAGAAAGATCTTGATAAATGAATAAGACATTAATCAATTGCCAAACGATCGCCTAAATATCGGTCTATAACACGGCTAATTAAATGATTTGGCAATTGATTATATATTACTCGGGCTGTGAGTTGATGTTATTTATGAATAAGACATTGTTCACCCTTGTTATTGAAAACATATACAAATAAAAAGTAGGAGATAAACCACTTACAGGAAGAATTTAAAAATTTTTTATCTATGTTTTACTAGGTAAAGAGTGTAAAACCGTGTCTCAAGCAATTACAGCAAGGAATACAAACAATTACATCGCTGCATGCTGATGAAGGTAGGCAAAGTAAATAAAATCATTTATGTTATCATTTTATGTTCTTCTAATATTTAATTCTCGCATTCTACTAAAATGCATAATTTACATGTTATGTCAAAATTATATTTAATTAAATGGAAAAAGCATTCATATTTTAAGTGTATTATTTATTTTATTTTATTTTTTTTTTTGTGATAACAATAGACTGCAAGTCAAAATCTTATTTAAATAATATTCCACCTATGAAACATGTTTTTGAGTTAACACTTAAATGTACATAAAAATTTAACATAATTTTGATATAATTAAATGTGTGTGTATGTGTGATAGTTATACCTTGTATAACTAGCACACATGCAGTATGAATATCTTCCAACAGATTATTTTTATTTCATATACATATATTATGTATCTGTTGTGATGTCAAATATACAGTGGTGCCTTGTACTTTGAATTTAACTCGTTCCAGGAGGCCTTTTGAAGTCCAAATAAATTTTTCCATTAGAAATAATGAAAAGCAAATTAATCCATTTCCAGACTCTAAACAATACTCATTTCAATAAACTTAAAATGGCAAATACATGATTTAAGGTAAAAGTAAGACAATTAAATGCCCTATTAATAAATTAAAACACAGAAACAATAAATAAAATGCCTAAATACTGTATAATGAAATGAAAATTGTGTTTATTGATCACACAGTCGACTTAGGCATATTAAGCAGAGCACCAGATACTGCTTTCCTGCTACACAATAAGTTCCTTTTTCATCTCAATCGTCAATACTACAATTTTCTTCTTAAGCCTTGTTGCTTCCACACACTTTTCTAATGTCATGGTTAATAAGTAAAGATTATATTGGGTTTAACAGAAAGTTTTTGGCATATCTTTAACAGCTGTCCTTACTTAACACAGATGCGATTTAATTGTAACAGTTGTGAGATTGTATTCTTTGTTTAGAAACTGATTTGAAACTTTTACTTCATATTTTGTTTGAATAAAATCAAGTTTAAATGTCTTCAGATAAAAAAAGATATAATATTGAACACAGTTTAAAAAAATTTGTAATGTGTATGAGGAAGATGTTCCTAAACTTTAAACATGTCAAATGTGGTTTTAAAAGGTCCATTCAGGAAATTTTGAATTAAAGAATTCAAAATGTATGGGGTGCCCAACAGCTGTCAACAAAGAAAAATTGTTAAAAATTGGCAAATAACATTATTTTTGGTGTGTTTGGTTACACATATTAAGTGAAAAAGCACTGAAAACATAAGAGAGCGAGAGACAACTTGGGTGCACAACAGATGGCATTATGCTTTGAGCAGTTTTTTTTTTTGTGTGTGCACAGTTTGAACTTTGAAGTATTATTTGAATTTCAAGGCAAATTTTTGTCAAATTTAGCACTCAGAGTTAGTCATTTGAAGTATGCAGTACCACTGTATCAAAAATTTATCAAAATATTGAATATGCTTAATATTAAACATTTGAAACCATATATAACGTAACAAAAGCAAATAGTATTTGTATGAATTGGAGTTTGAAACATTTTTTACTGTCAACCTTTTATTGACCTCCCTCTTTTTTATTGCTAACATATATTATAATAATAATTATTATAAATAGATGATTAAATTTGCTGAACCTATAATAATCCACATATTGTTTACATAGAAAAGATTTACAGTGTGCAAATTTACAACATCCTGAAATGTCATGTACATAACCAACCTATTGGACTAATAATTTTCAACCAACCTCAGAAAATGCCTTATTGACCCCAGAGGACAATATCAACTGTTTTGAAGATCTTTGATATACTTTAAATGAAGCTAGTTGATTGAAAATTATTAGTCCAATGGGTTGGTTATGTACACGACAGTTCAGGATGTTGTAAATTTGCAAGCTATGTAGATCTTTTATATGGAAACGATATGTAGATTGATATAAGTTCAGCAGATTTATTTATCTATTTATAATCATTATTATTAATTATATTAGCAAAAAAAAGAAGAGGAATGTCAATGAAAGGTCAAAGAATTCTTAAAGGGGTCGACAGTCAAAAAGTTTTGGACCCCTGATTTATACAATAGTATTGACTTTTGTTATGTTTAATATTAAAGATTTGAAACCATATATAACATATTGAATATTTGTTACTTATATCAATACACATTATTGATATAATTAAATCATTGTGTATTTGCTTTATATACTTACTGTGTGTCTAAATGTGTAAAATAGTTATATTCAACTTCTTCAAAACAGTGCCACTTTAAAATCTCTATCATTACTATTTAATTAAGTTTGACTAATTGAAGACAAACAAGGATATCAGATTTTAAAATTTAAAACAAGGACAATTTCAAAACTATTACTGTTAAAATTAAAATTACCAATCTTAATAATCAAAATAGTTATTATTTTTTATTTAAAATTTATATAAAAGATAATAATAATAATAAAATAAACAATCTGATAGTACAGGAATGTCTGTAATGCAGTTTTTATTGGGCATGGCCTTGAGCAGTTTGTTTGCACATAGGAGATGCTTACTAATCAAGTTTATTTGGATAATAATTTTAATTATCTTGTTATGACTGGTGTATGCCATACATAATGAAAAAACTATAAAATTATATTTGGTATAAACTTGTGTTTGTAATTTTATTTTAATTTAATTAGATTAAATCTTATTGGAAAGACTTTTGTTAAATGCATACTATTTGGTTAATTAATCTAAGTAAATATAGTATTTAAATTTCGTAAATAATTTTCCCTTAATTCGGTAGAATTAATTGTTTTCCTTAGAAGTGATTCCTGCTAGTCACGGTGATATGTTTCAGTGGATGCCGAAAGAACATATGTGCGTTCTTGTGTACCTGGTAAGTAAAATATGGTCACAGTAATGACTCATACATCTTGCATATTAATATTAATAAATTAGGAATGACTATTTAGGTAACAGTTCTTCATTCAATGCAAGCTGGTTATATGGATAAAGCTCAGAAATACACTGATAAAGCTCTGATGCAGATTGAAAAATTAAAAAGTAAGTGTGTCAGTTTAATTTTATACTCGCTCTGCATGTGTATAAAATATTTCATATTCGACAAGCATTCTAGGATCGTAAATCACTTGCCAAATTACAATATCAATGACAGCAGCGTAATTTATGACATCATCAAAAAATAAACAATTATAATTTATTACTGTTTATCTGCTTCTATAAATGTATTTATAATTACTATTGCTGTTATAACTGATACTAAGTACACAACAAAAAGCAGAATATCTTTCAAAGATATGCTACAAGATTTTTTTAACTTAGATGAGTTTTTAAGTCTTAAAAATGTCTAATTTAAGTTAATTTTTACAGGAGAACACTTCATATTTTTTACCTGTTGGTAAAGATTCATTATGTTTAAATTTACTTTACTTGGAAATTAATTAAAATTTCAAGATTATTTAAAGTTTGAAAAAGTTATGTAATTTCTCATTCTAAATATAAAAATCTTGAAAAATATTTGTTTTGTATAATATTTTAAGTACCTAAATATATTATTGTGATAATCAGTTTATTTAAAATATTTTAATAACTTGTCTTCTTGTCTTTAAATGATGGACAACCATAATAAACTCTAGCAGAAATGTTTAATGAAATATATGAATGTCTTCAGCCATATCAAATTTGACATTTGAATGTCCTATCATCCTAAATAAACATAGAATTTGACATCCAAATATATATAAGTTTATGATATTTGATCTAAAGGTGGCCTATTAATGAGGCCGAAAATATTTGTCAGTTTCATTAAACAGTCATCTCAAGTTTATTATGGTTGTCTTCTTGCCATATAGTATTATCTTCTGGTTTACGAAAAGTTTTTGAGCAGTATCTATTTTTAAAAAATTATTTATATAATTGTATAACTTTGATTCATTTTGCAAATGAGAAAGTAAAGTAGATAATAAATTTTTAATATAATTCCAAAATAATTTTGGATAACATTTTTAAGACAGTAATGCTTACCTTATATTTCAGTGGTCGACAGCCATCCAATATTACATTCTTTTCAATTACTCTTACTTGAACATATTGCAATGTGCAGATTAGTAATGGGAAACAAAACGCTGGCCATACAAGAAGTAGGATATTTTTATTTATTTTATATTTTGAATTTGTAGTTGTTAAAGATTCAGATATTTTGTAGGCATCTCAAGCTCTCCAAATTTGTAGGCAAGAACCACGTCTGTTTTTGCGTCACAAACCACAAGTTCATGCTTTATTGGTAAATTATAATTACAGTTTTTAATATATTGATATTATCCTATTTCATTATTAATATTAGTTTCCTTGAAAGGGTTTATACGCCATGTCAATGAATTGTATGGAAGCGGCGGAAGCACAGTTTAGCACAGTGGTTCGGGTAAGTTGTCTTAAATAAAAGTTAACGGCAGTATCATTTTCATATAAAACTTTTCTCTAATAGTGCAATGGCTCTATAGAACTTCAAATATTAGCTAACTTAAATTTGGCCATTGTGTATTTGAGAAGCAAACGAGACAAAGAATTATTAGAATTATTGACTCGACTCAATCCGGAAACCTTGCCTATAGTGTAAGTGTGTTTATAATGATATTAGAGAGACCAAAATATAATTTTTGAAATAATTTGTATTTTAGTTCACACAGTTTACGGGCAGCAGCCTATTATGTTCATGGTTTAAACGCATTTTTCCAAGCTCGTTACAATGATGCAAAGTATGTTAAATCTTTTGGGTTTTAATTTTTATTTACCCATAGCATTCAATATTTATGAGTTTAACTTTTAAAGGCGTTACTTACGAGAGACTTTAAAGATGGCCAATGCGGAAGATCTGAATCGCTTAACTTCGTGCTCTCTTGTCCTCTTAGGTCATATATTCTTCTCTTTAGGAAATAGCAGAGTGAGTTCATTTTTGCTAATTTTTTGATATAAATAAGTACTTTTTCATTAAAAGAAATGCATTTTAGGAAAGTATGAATATGGTGACCCCAGCTATGCAACTTGCAAGTAAAATTCCCGACGTTCACGTTCAGTTATGGGCCTCTGCACTGTTAAAAGGTCAGGACGTATGATTTGTATAATTACCAAAGAGATCTAAACACTATAATTTAATGCTTTTCAATATATTTAGACTTGTACAGAATTTGTGCCGACCCATTACGAGAACAAGAAGCCATTCAGACACACACTTCGTTTTCTCAGTTACTACTTAAAGATCATTTTCAAGCATCTCAACTTCCAGAACACTGTCTAATTCAGGTAGGATGCAAATTTTTATTTTAATAGTAAGTCAAAATTCCATAAATGACAAAAATGTAACTAAACAGTGGATAGAAGGAGATCCTCCATTACTTCCCAGCCATCCACCACCGCCTGCACCTACATTATTGTGATTAAGAAGCCGTCTCAATACCTATCATCTCTATCGACATCGGCAGATTAAGTATTGTATACACAATATTTTAAATTGCAAATTTATGAAAAGAAAAACAGACTTGTAAATATTTGTATATAGGATAATCACTGTTTAATGTTATAAGAAGATTTTATAATTTTTTTAAATAAATAGAGATCAGCACGTATGTGTACTACTGAAGGAAAGTATTGTATTTATTGTACTTGAGGAAGAGGAGAATCTGTTGTAAGCAATATTTGTTTGTGATATTTAAATATTTTGAGTACTAGTTTTTATTTGTCATTTGGTTAATGCAATAGAACCTTGATTTTACAGAGTATTTAATTCTTTATTGCAAACAAACAATTTTTGCTTGTTCACAGCCAGGTTTTATTTCTTTATTGTGCTATGTTTTGTTGCTAAATTTATGATAATTTTAATAATTATGAGAGAGAGTTAGAAGTTTCTAATTTGTTATAATACATTTTGTCAACTAATTTATATTATTTCATAAAGGGTATAAATAAACCAAAGGTTAACAGTTGAAATTTTGTAATTAGTTCCATGTAAAATGTATAGATACCATCAATAAAAGTGGGCCAATAAGCATCATACAAAGCAGAAAATTTGCATACAAATTTGCAATGCATGAAAGATACATCCATACATCATACTTGCCCTCTTTTTTTCAATTAGTGGGGATATACATCCCTATATAAGGTGCATATTTATAGCCTCACTCGATTGTGGTGAAAATGGAAACGTCTGCATTGCATAATTGGGTTCCTAGTCACCAAAGGTTAGCCACTGCAATTATTTGGCAAATACAACAGGTGTATGGTCATCTCAAGTCTTTGCCCAGGTTAAGGTGCAGGCAGAAAACATTTTGGGCAGGACCGACAAGAAGTAACTGCAACAAACATCATATTTGCCCTCTTTTTTTCAACTAGCTTGGCTTCTCATTAAGTTTATGCATTAAAAATGAAATTCATTGCAGGCATCCTGGAAAACTTCTGAATGAGATCACTTGCTTCGTGACAAAGTGCACCTTTGCAGAGCCAGGACAACAAACCTATTACAGCAGTTTGGGTGAGAGATATTTGAGCATCACCCTCAGACTTTTCATGTTATTGGAGAACCAAAAACAAAAAAAAGCACTTAACTGCAGGCAGTTTCCTTGGATGCTAAATTGCAAGTTGCAGTATGCAATTGGCTCCGTCAGTATCCCACTACATTCTTTAAACGAGGTTTAAGTAGGCTTGTGTCACAGTGGGAGATGTGTCTTAATAGTAATTTCCCTGGTCATTCAAATAGTTTATATTCTTTGCTGCTGCTTTTGCTGGTTATTTATTAATCCACCATTATATATATATCTTGTCAATGAGATATGGGCAATTTCTTACAAAACAGCAAATTGATAGGTTTTTATTTGATATTAAAAATTGGCTGATGATATTTATGTGTAAAGACATTATAGTTTTTTATTTTTCATCATGTCCAATCACAGGAACAGCAGTCTTCCATTGCAGAGATGGCTTTTATTAGACCTCTGCAAAATATGCAAAACACTTTTTTAAAGTTTTGTTATTTTAGTTTCTTCTATGTATATTTTACCGTGTAAATATTGTCAGCAAACTTTTTAAACAGTTTTGTGTATTTTTGCAGAGGCGTAATCTCTAGTAAAAGGTCATCTCCACAGAAGACTCTTTCTTGGTGATTGGACATGATGAAAAATGAAGGCATTTTAGTTTCTTCTACGTGTTTTTTGCTGCTTAAAAGTTCTTTGCTTTATTCAAATTTTGATCAGTAAACAAAAATACAAGAGTCATTCTCTTGGTAGAGTTATTTAGAATATTTGGTCTGTTTTCCACCAAGATCACATCAATGAAATGTGTGTTATTCTAATATAGCTTTTATAAAAATTGGATGTTATTACCTGTAACTTAAATGGAAAAACAAACTCTAAAATAAATTTTGTGTGTATATATTTTTCTTCTTGATTTTACAGCTCTAAAATGTATATTCTGAAGTTCTTTTGTCCAGTTTTATAGTCTGTTTGCAAAATTTTAAGTTAAAGCTGAATATTGCATTATTTATATTATCAAGTAATCAAGGTTCTATTGTATTTTATATTCACATGGAAATAAACTGATAAAGAAAATCTAATTCTGAATAATTCATACGTAGTAATTAATACCGGGCATCAATCAGTATGGATAATTATCCTCCATGCAAGAAGTATTCGGTACGTATACGGCCCACATGATGGATTATGAATAGGTCAATGTAAGCAAGTGGCGAGATTACAGTGTTGCAAGGACAAACATCAACTTTTGTTTGCTTGAATTTTTCATTATATTCATTAGAGATGTAGGATTAAAAAAAAGAGAGAGATAATTGAACCATTGTCTTTGGCTTTAATTTTTCTTTCTCTCCATTTTCTGTTTGTATGGATAATTATTTTAAAATATTGTACAAAACTAGTATATTTGACACTTTAATTATCTTTTGTCAGTAACTTATGTCTGCCAAGATTTTTTGGCAGGGGACCGATTTCGATTGAATACTCCTGTCTTACTAGAGTACATACTAAATTGTTGCTGAAGTATCTTATTAATGACATGAATCTTGCCAAACTAATAATTTATTTGACATGTATATTATCTCTAGGGAAAACACAAAGTGTACAGGAAAAACAGAGGGCAAAATGTGAACAGTTTAAAAAATAATTCACAATGTTAAAAGAATTCTGTGAAGTATATATTTGTATTGGCACTTTATGTGTACATAATTATTTCCTCAAAATATCTACACAGAATATTAAATATGTACAAATGAACACAAGGTATATTAAATTATACATTTACATCTACAGGCAAAGTATTGTCAGATGGAGTATCTCTTTTTTTTTTCTATGCTATGTATTTTGTCAGAACTGTAGTACCCATTTACAAAACGTTTGACGATAAAAAATAGAATCAATATCCAGATCAAAAAACGTAAATTTCCATCATAAAAAATACAAGGCAATCAAAAAGTAACCATTTAAAAAAGGGGGCCAAGATTCAACTTGTACTATTTAATATTCATTTATTATTGCAAGAATTAGCGTTTGATTTTCTTTTTGTAGCATTCGTTTTCACGAAATTTATTTGGTTACTTTTTGATCGTGCTCTTTATTTTCGGGAAAACAAAATTCAAAACATTTTGGTTCATTGGAATTTGTTAGTTGGGGGATATTCTCTTTTTACAACACTTCATACACAAAATATCATCATCAACATCAAAACGAACTGAACATCACATATTACAATCACAGCCCTTTGTTGCATCTTCTATATAAAATCCAGAATCATCTGGTTAAGTACTACCAATAGTGTGAGTGTGTGTTTGTGTGTGTGTGTGTGTGGATTGTTTCTCCTTCAGAATATATATCAAAACAAAACTTGGAAGCGCATATCAGCAGCATCTGACTAAAAAAATTAATTTTCCTTTTCTCTCTCTGTGTACGTTATGACTGCAGTTGACTAGAAACCGGCAAAACTGCTGTCGTTATTAAGGAAGAAAATTAAAACCGGCAGAACGATTGGGAGAAAAAAAGGAATTAAAATATTGACTTTGTTTTTTGGTCCTTATGCTATGTTGGAGCAATCTGATTTTAAAAAAAAAAGTTTAAAAAAACAACAATAAAATGTTTAAGGTTTTAAAAAATATCAAAAGCTAACTTTCTTCGAAGGTACAGTATCCAATAAATTACCATAAAGTGCAGGGAATGTAACTCTCAAGTGCTTATATCCCAACTTGTAATTTTGGTCTAATCTCTGAGTGATAAATTATTAAGAAATGCTGCTCTGAGTGAATTATGAATACAAATAACTATTTACAGGCTCTGGAATCTATGGGTACTCCCTTTTTAGTGCTGTGTCTTGGACATTATCTACTATAAATTCCTAAATGGCCTGCAGATGCTTTGTTTCTGTACAATGTGGGGAGGGTTTATAAATAATACAGCAATGTATACATCGTATCTGTACATTCCAATATGGAATCCCATTTGGCCGTTATGGGAAACTGCATTATTTGCTCGTTAATGCTTTTTGAGGCAACTCCCTAGCGGCCGGGGTCTTCGGAAGATCTCTCCAGAGGACTCGGACGGTGCGCTTCGAGAGAAGTGTCCGCGATGCTCGGCTTTGCTCGACGGAATAAGGTCTGTCGTCAGCATACACTCGTCCTGCCTGCAGGATATGGTATGTTGCCGTTGGCTAAGCTGCCGTTGGAAAGATTGCTGACTTTACTACTTTTGCTGTCGTCGGATATCCCTTTGCTACCTTCATTGGAATGAATACTCAAACCTTTGCTATTATCTTCGCTGCTTTGATCTGTTCTACAATTAGATTCCTCGACACTTTCTTTGTCCAACGTATCAAGCGGTAGAGTTTTTTTTTCTTTGTCCTGGACAATTTTGACAGAGGGGAAATATCTGATGTCCATTTCCTCGTCTGAGTTGTCGTGACTTGCAAGTGACGACTCGTCCCAGGCTCCCTGTGACTTCAAGGGAGTGGCGGGAGTGGCGGTGTCTACTTGATCCACGTCAGTTTCTTGTAGACACATCTGCTGATACTGCGTGAAGTAGAATGACACTTTCTTGAAGCGTTCGTTAACGTCAGGAAGCAAAATTTCAATCAGTTCGGTGAAGGTTGGACGAGCTTTGGGATTTTTAGCCCAGCAAAGCTTCATGAGTGCATATCTGAAAAAAGGCAATACGGATTTTTTTAATTCTCTATCTATATTAATAATAAATAAAATCCACCACTTACAGTCTGTCTGGACAATTTTCGGGCTTTTCCATTATACCATCATTGATAACATATTTCAGAACTTGTTCATTGGACAAACCCTGATAGGGTTGAGATGCCAACGTGGCCATCTCCCACAATACTACACCATATGACCTATAGTTATTTGATGCAAGAAAAAAATCTCTCAGATTTTATCTTCACAAATACTTGTCAATTTTGGCTTTGTACTTACCAGACGTCAGACTGACTCGTAAAAACACCATCTTTTAACGACTCCGGAGCCATCCATCTCACCGGCAATAATCCCTTTCCACCTTTACGATAGTAATCCGTCTCGTATATATCTCTGGTCATACCAAAATCACCAATTTTTACAGTAAGATCCTCTGCCACCATACAATTTCGGGCAGCCAGATCACGATGGACAAACTTCTTCGCTGCCAAATAAGCCATTCCATCTCCAATTTCAATGGCCATTTGCAAAATTTGCTTTAGAGTCGGTGGCTGAAAACCGTTATTATCCTGAACGAAACAAAATGCTCGTAAAAGATAAGTAATCAGTAAGTCATTCTTATTTCGTAACAAAATGCTTACCTCAACATTGGGCCTGTGTGACCGTAGATAACTCTTCAGATCACCGTTGGCCATCAGCTCCATGACGACGAGGGGCGGGTGACACTTAGCAACCACTCCTAATAACTTAACGACGTGGTGACAGTTGAACGCTCTGAAATTTTGTTGGGTGCAATTAGAATTATTTATAAAAATGCTATTAACATAAAATCTGCATACTCTAGTATATGATTTACTTAATACAATTATTATAAATACATACTTCATCACCGAAGCTTCTTGTAAGAATTCAATTCTTTCTCTAGTCGTTGCATTTTCGTTAACAGTCTGCATGTAAATGTGTATTAATTAGTAAAAAATATACAGTCACGGGAAAAAGTTTGAGACCATCCAGGTTTTCAAACTTCCTATTAAAATTACCATAAACCAAATTTGAAGTAAAAATCACTTTCATATTTAAGAAATTCAAATACAACAAATTATCACTTGCAATTTTCCTGGAAAAAGTTTGAGACCAGAATAAAAATTTATATTTTACAACATTCTAAAATACAATAGATATCGTAACCTAATTTGCATATGTCCATGTTGCTTATTTTCAACGTCGGCCATTCAGATTTATGGAATCTCGCAACTTTTAGTGACAAGAAAAAATTTAACTCAGATGGCCTTGACGACGTGCAATACTATTGGCACAATACATGTTGCATATGAGGTGGAGGATCCATGATGACGCGGGCAGCTTTCACTTGTCAGTTAAAATCAGCCATTTCTTTCATTTCACCTTATTTGAAGGCAGTCGACTATCAAGACATGTTGGGAAATTATCTTCTACCATTAAAAAATGAAACAATGGACAAACATTTTATTTTCCAACAGGATAATGCTGCCTCGACAATGATATTGTGAGACAACCGTGTCAATGTTTTGCCGTGTAATCCGGATTTTAAACCTTTGGGTGATTTAGTAAGAGTGGTTTATGCTAATGGAAAACAATTTAATAATGTTCCCAATCTTAAAAAAGCAGTTGTGACAGCTTGGGGCAAAATTGGTCCTGAAAGGCTAACAGTTCTCACTAACTCTATGACTGGTCGATATTTGGGTTACTGGTAAACAATCAAAGTATTAATCGTTGTTTTTTGATCTTTGTGTCAAACTTTTTTCCAGGCAAATTGCAAGCAATAATTTGTTGTATTTGAATTTCTTAAACATGAAAATAGCCATAAACCAAATATGAAGTAAAAATTTATGTTGTTGTTTAGCTATTAAAATATTTACAGGAGATCAGTTAATTTTAATGGAAAGTTTGAAAACTCGGGTTGTCTCAATTTTTTTCCAGGACTGTAACACTTCTAAAATATTCTTTGAATTTAAAAAATTCATAAAAGAGAAATTACTTCAAGCATATATAATTTGTTAAAATATACCTTTACTGCACATTTAATAACAGGCTTCCCTTCTTCTAGATCTCTTGCTTCTCCTTCGTAGACCATTCCAAATGAGCCTTGACCTAATTCTTTAAGGAGAGCTATTTTCTCTCTTGGAACTTCCCATTCATCCGGTTCATACACTGTAAGGAATTAGTTTTCTATGTGTAAGGCACGGGATATGCATTTTACGTGGGAAAATGCAAATTATCGCTTACCTGCACTCATATATTCCGGATTAACCGAAGCATAAATAGTGGCATTTAGTAGATTAGCTTCGTTTCTGTAATAGACAAAATGAGTAATCCCACAATGCAACTATAAATAAAATGTATCTCGTACCTTTTCTTGAAAACCACGATGACGACAGCAGACAGAAGCACAACTCCCAAAATTATGGGTAATGCTATCAATATGGCCATTATGGTGGGGTTTCCTAAGCGTAAAAACAATTGTCATTTATTTAAATTGTTCTCGTTTCCAGTTTGTCATAATTGTGTCATTTGTACCTTTGGTTTCCGGTATTTGGAAATAGATGGGCAGAGTCCAGTTTCCGTTATCGGCGAGAGACGTGGCACGCAGTCTGAGAGAGTAGTTTCCGGGATGAAGTTCGTTCAAAATTGATCCATTGAGTTGTCGATACTGCAGCTGCGTGATGCAAATCGCCTCAGGCTTATACTGGAATTAAGGATTTTAATATGCACAAGTTACTCAATAAAATTAAATTCCTCGATAGAAGGAAAGCCAAAAGGAAACTTACATTTTCTACATTCATTCTCTTATATTCTATAGAATATGAGACTATAAGCCCATTGGGATCTTTTGGCTCTTCCCATTTAATGTATATGCTACCAGACGTGGCATTTTCAGTCTTCACCCGAATTGTATTGGCATCTATGTCATCCGCTCCACCTGAACAAAGATTATGAGAACACATCTACATAGAAATTAAGAAATTCTAGAAATGATTCTACTAACCTAACTTGAGCGTTCTTGCGGTCGTAAGGGCTTTGGAACTGCAAAGTGATCTCGTGCGTACTTTCTTACCCTCCTCTTGGCAAGCTATTATCTAAACAAATTTTTAAAAATTTTAAATGTGAACAGCATGGGAACTGCATTGCATAATTATAGAATTTTCATAATTACCTCTATCGTATATTCTGTAAAATGATGCAAACCGTTGACGATGAGGTAAGTATTGTGATAAACCACTTTCCGAAATTTGTCCGGGATGTTGCTGGGGGGATAACTGTTGTTGCCAACGCTTCCATTTCTTCTCTCGTCGTCCGGCACCGGAGGAGTGGCAAGTAAATGATTTTTATTCGGCTTGCCATTATTTGGACGGAGCGAACGTCTACTTCGAGATTTCTCTCTCATTACAGACTGTGGACTGTAAGGATAAAGTTGTCAGTTGGTACTTGTTTCGTATAAAGAAAACGGGCATTGGTAACCGTAATTAATAAAATTACTTTTTTTTGTATAAAGTGTTTTGAAGAAAATCTTCAAAATGGATTTGGAACTCTACATCCTCGTGCTCTTCGGACAAAGACAACCGAGTCTTGCTGCAGGGGCAGCATTTCTCAGAACCTTTGCCCTCCTGCCTGTAGTCCGTGTCGTTCGCGGCACGTTCTTTGCCACGATCTTCAAGATCATCGAATGGTGACTTCTTCAAATCTAAATAAGTTATCGCTAATGGGAGTAAAGAAATATTTTAAAATTTCCATTTAATTATCAGTAATTTTAATATTACTCTTACAGAGTAGATTTAACCTGAATTCCAAAATGGTAACTTAAGAAAAATTCACTGAACTTACGTTCCAAACAGTAATCTCGTTGATTGATAAACATTTGGGATTCTGCCACCCTGTTTCCCTCCACTATGTAGTGTGTGACGTTTCCATGTGGCTTTTTGGGCGGTTTCCATTTAATAATTATTTGATTGTGTCCATTAGAATGTGCTTCCGGAGAAACTGGTAACATGGGAGCTGAGAAGAGATTTTGAATGTTTATTTTGCTTTGAGTGTCTTGGCCAATACTAAAGTAAAAAACTAATAGCTTACTGTCGGGTTCAGTTACAAAATATATAATCTTGCTATGTGCCCCCTTCTGGCCAGAAGTGGTGGTATAAGTTCTTAGGTAGAGAGCATATTGTGTGAAAGGTTTGAGACCGGTAAGCAGATAACCAATGCTCTTATTGTTATGTGGAGCTTCTACATCTGCCGTCTTCCATCTAAATATAGAAAATATTTCAAGATATTTTGCGTATTCTGCGTGCACTTTCAGAGAGTTACCAGAACACACTTACATGTTCGAACCGCAAGCGTCGTGACCATCGTACATGGAAACATTCATTGTCGGTCTGAAAGGAAATGTATTCATTTTACTTTCCTGACTGTTATGTATACGTAACAAGGAAATCGTGTCAAATTTGATACTTGCGAGTCTTTTGTAAATCACATTTTGACGACTCCTGAAATTCAGTGGGGTGTGTGTGGGGGTGTCTATTTTACTTAATATCTCAGTACGAAATTTGGCATGATAGCTTGTATATAAGGGACAGTGATGCTATTAAATGTTGGTTGTAAAAGGTCAAGGGAATGGAGAGAGATAGAGGGTGGTTACCCATCATATCTCACAAGGGGTCAGACTTAACAAACATTTTACGTGTTAGCATTTATAGTGTTTTATAAAACTCATCTCTACCCTTTTGCTATTTTATAACAAAATCTCATAACAGATGGCACCACATACAATTTTAGTTACTTATTTTGATTAATAATATAAATGTTATTTTAAAAATAAAATCTCATAAAAGCCGGGAAAGTTACGCAACACATTGCTACATTTAACATCTTAGAGTTAAAACAAATGGCAAACTTACGCTTCTCGGTAATAAATAACATAACCCAGGAGAGATCTACGGTCAAGCATCGAATGTCTGAAATTCATCCACTGGAATACTGCACTAGTGCTTGTCATTCCCAAGATCGTTATGTTCATTTCCGACAGATCACCTTGAAAAATGTCGCGAAATTGAAATGAAAACAATTTTAAACAATAAAACTAAATTTAAGTACCATACTTACAGGCCACTCTATCTCCATTGGAACTTGGTGACACATCTCTATCATCCCAATCCATTGTCACGTTTGCGTATTTTTTTAGATCGTTGATCTTACTCAAACAGAGTTTGGAATTGAAGTGGAAGAATATTTTCCCATTTAGAATCGTTAAAGTCTTCGGCTTGTTTGTCCAATCCCAAAGCTCTTTCAGATTTTCGTTTTCCAGAACAAGAAACGAATAACTGCCCAAATAAAATTTAGAATATCTCATCACAGGGTAGAAGTTACAGCACGCTTTTCACATTGTTTTTAATTAAAATATCCGTTTTCATCCACAAAATAATATAAAAAATTAACCTACTCTTTAATTTCTAAGTTCTCCCCTCGTATCATTTCCAAATTCTTCAAAAAGTTGAGGGATACGAGAGGAAAAGAACGAGCAATTTTCAAAAAACCACTGATCTCCTGAACATCCCTCAAGTTCTCTTCCAATTCTGCAGTTATGTTAGCTGCGGATTAAATTTTACACAATTAAATTTTATGCATAATAAAATTTGTATTTTAAAAATTAAAAAGTTTTCAATTACATCCTCCTTGAATTTGAATTTCTAGAGATCCATTGATGTGAGTACATCCTCGGAGCCTCTGAGCAGATGCAACGTTGGTCAATATACCTCCGGGACAGACTAAATTACAAAACATGTATATAATTTATAAGACTACAAAGTAATCGTGCACAATTCGGAAATGGATCATAAATGGGTATACCTTTTGGACAACGACCTTTGCATTTTACACAATAGTGCTTGTTAGTTTTGTGCTCATTGTATCCTTGGGGACAGTCTGGTCTGCACTCTCCGTCCAGCGGTTTCCAATATATAAGCTCATCTTCGTTGGAATTATATAGGCTATCTTTGGGCATTTTCCTACATTCGCTTTCGGTCACGCATCTTCTGTTCTTATACTGAAAAGTGCACTGATGTTAAGCATAATGCATCAAACTTGCCTTCGCATTTATTCTAGAAAGACTTACCTTATACGTATTGATGGGGCACTCTCTCATGCATCTACCCTGAAACAAAACATGCCTGCATTCTATGCAGTCGGTAGCTTCAGTTCCTGTGCATCCTCCTAGACACTCGTGATGACAGCAGTGACTGGCGTTGGTTTGCATGCAGGTCAAATTTTTATTCTCACACTCGCTACCACAGACTGTAAACAGGGAAAACATAAGTCAAAATGAAGATATTCATACTTAATTTGCTCTACTTACTCTTCTGAGGATGTTGTGCATTCCAACAATAAGCTGCACGATCGTTGTTGGTGTTGCCGACTGGATTTTCCACCGCAAGATGATAGCCTCCAGTTCCGGTTCCAGTGCAGGTATTAGGACAGTCTCTAGGATTGTGGTTGGATTTGATGAAATGATTCCCCGCTCCGGCTTTCGCTATGTTGTCCCAATTGACAGTGTCCACGTAGCAGAGACTCGGATTCTTTTCTATCCTGACTGATCCCCTGACAATGTTGGTGAGACTCTTCAGCCCTATTTCTTTCAGCTGAAACATTTCAAATATCACCAATGCGTAATTGTGGAACAGAATGTATCCTCGGATGACCGCCAGATTGGGAAACAGCCTGTCCAGCGAGCGCAAGCCGAATGCCCGATACAAGAGCAGATATCCGGTCACCTCTCTCAGTTTAGGAAACGAGAGATTTTCATAGTCCTTCTCGTCGCTGTTGTCTAGTAACAGTATCTGAAGGTAACCTTCCACCACGGTGCAATTTTCTAATTTCCTAAAGTGGGCAACTGAATTCCTGATATCGATATTATTGCATACTGAAAAAGAAAAAAACAAAAATTCTTTTTAAAAAGTCAAATTAATTAACATCTGTCGGAGGATGATCAAATTCTGCAAGTCCCAACGTTATCGAGACCAAGACAAAAAAGGGGCCATCATCCAATTACTGGTGAAAAATCCCAAAATGAAGGTATCGAGTGTTTTCGAAGGACTAAATTTTAAAACACACAAGCACAGGCACACGGACCATTATGGGGACCAATCCTAACTATTATTGGCAATACCAGAGTCGATAGATATACCGGTCTCCAAACTACCAATAGCACTAATGTTACGAAAGCAACATAATACCTCTGCCACTTCAAGCACTGCAATTGCTTTGCAGCATAAGTTTGGCTCCGGCATAGGGAGAGTCGGCTGTAAACATCTTAAATTCTTTTAATATATGAAATTATCTCTGTTTTTAACTCAGATATTTCTTTTGTTATTTTTAAAGGGCCGTTTATAAATACTATTTTAATTCGGTTTTGAACATTATTTATTTGTAAATGTTGTTAATATTTATATTTCAATTAACTGTCGCTTTCACATTTTAGACTTTAAATTGTTTTTTTTTTGCTTACCATTTGTGTTAACTCCCAAAAATATTTTAAAATTTTCGTTAATGGTAAGAAAAGGTGGTCAAAAAATTTATAATTAAGCCTATATATACATAATTAATATTGGATGCTTCAGGATTCCTGAGAACTCTCTGAATCAGGAAGAAAAGGGAATGATGAGAATTATATATATTTAATTATAGAAATGTTAAACCAAGTGTTACGATAGGATAAAGTGTTACAAAAAAAAAGCCGATTTAGGATGGCTTTGGAGTTTATCAAGGTTAGCCCATATCTTTTTTTTATTAATATTAGGTGAATTATTGTAGTTCGCAGTGAGAAAAGAGCTACGATATATGTTTTTCGCAATTGATATTGTGTTTATTAATGAGATAGAGAGAGATTAAAGTTGAACCATAAAAAGTTAGGAACAGGTTAGAGGGGGAGATTAAAAGTCAGTAGATTTATTTCTTGGATTTCAGTTATAGGCTGTTAGAGGAAAGAGGAAATTCTAACTATTTAGACAACATATTTACAGGCACATAATAACCTAGAAGTAATTAGAGGATGATGAGAGATTGACAAATAAAATTGAACTTTTGCCATCCAACATTTACCTGACATTATTATTAGATATTGACAGTGATAATTAGTAATGACACGGAGTCTAAAACAAAGAAATGTTTGTTTATATAGGCCTGAAACATCAGTAAGGACAGGTGTAGTAGGCCATCAATAAATCCTCATTTGTATTCTACTTTTGTTAGTGCAGAATGTTGTATAAATTACCAAAATATAAGTGTCATAAGAAATGTAATTTCTCGTGTCAAAAATACAAAACTATTTTGTCCCAAATACTATTTTTCACTATACCAAATCAACTAAAATTGTATAGCACACTTTATGTAGTGTAGGAAAACCATACCTTATCACAGAATAAGCTATGATTTTCCTAATTATATTGTAATACATATATAATAAATAAAATAGTAAAATGCAAATTTATTTACTTATTTTACCATTACCTATGTATTGAACAGATATGTTATACTCAGAACATTATGTACAAAACCTTCATTCACAATATGTAGCAATATAACAGTTTTAAACAGATCTTTATTTAAACCCTGGATAAATTAAATCGAAAAGAAAATTATTTTCAATTTAATTTATCCACATCTGTAATTAAATTTTTCTAAAAACCAAATATATGTTTTCTTTCTTTATACATATTAAATTAAAAAACATAATTACAAATAAGATTTTCTTGACAGAAAAGTAGAAAAAAACTACAAAAAATGCTTGAAAATGGCAAAACTGTTTACTAACCAAATAGATAAACCAACTTCTTGCCGCAATGCAACTCTAGCACCAGCTATTGGCAACCTGATATGCTAACTCTAGAACATAGCTCAGAGACAGTATATCTATGGACTCTGGCAATACCAAATTTTCACCATCCGATGCAGCAAGCATTGCACATCTAAAAGGCACATAAGTATCTTAGAGGCTATCTTCCAATGTATTTACGCATTGTATGACTTTGAACGTTCCACACGAGCCTCCCGTAATCCTTGGATACAGATATTTTGGCATTGCCAAAAATAATCAGATCCCCGTTTGCATGGCTTCATTCTTAATGTCGACCGTTACGAACAATCCAACTCGCAACAGGGTGGAATCGAAAGTGCCAAAGAACGTGAGTTACGGCCAGATTTGTACCGAATCCTCAAGTCCATATCTTGAATCATCCTATTACAAATCAATTTTCTAACATCCTCATATTAATGCGAGGCACTACGCGACCGGGAACAATCATGCCAATCTGTACCACCGTGATAATTTTGGGAGTCCCAACCGCATTTTAATTAAGCCCTAGTGTAGGAATTCACCTCTCCACGATACGTTCTTATCGTGCAGTCCTCTTGGTCCTCCAAAAAACGAAAACAACCCTGTCGCTTAGGGATTATTATACCCATTACTATATGACCTATGTCACGTAATTGTCTTATAGAAATATCATTAAAAAATTGCTGTCCAAATGCATAAAGTAATGCAGAGGAGTTCTCCCTACAGAATTAATTATGTATTTTTTCCTCCCCCTGTAAGATCTACACACTTGGGTATACGAGTTTTTCTCTTTATATAAAATAAACTGCAAGCCTTTACTGTAGTAACGTACTTGTTTACTTTAAAGATTCTAAATTTAAGATATAATTACTGTTTTCGAACGACGATCGAGGGAAAAAATTCGCCCTAGCAATTGCAAACCAATGTTTCCCGAATGCAATTTTTCATTTTCTACCATTCCGCCGAATAGCACGTGGCAGACACGTGTGTTCATACCGCGATCGCGGCACCTGCCGGCAAAATAAAGGCGGCGCGTTAGCACGTGCTGTATTTTTCTCGGCCAAAAAACGAATAAAAAAAATTAATACGGAGACGTTTATAATTTTGACGAACGAATAAATTCGCGTCGGTTCGAATAACGGAAAGCGCGGTTAACGCGTCCCACGTGGAGTCTCGACATATTTCGGCAAAGATGTACTGTACGTACAGTACACACGGCGTGCGTGCTTATATAATAAACAAACAGCCGCCGCCGGGAGTTCTTGTTTACGGGGAGGGGGACAGAAACAGCTAGACTAGGATATGCAGCGCGTCCAGAATTACGAGATTTTTACTGTCTGCCATGGGGTCAATCACCTCGGACGGAGCAAAACAAAACTTAACAGGATGTGCAGACGGCGTGCAAAAGAAAATTCTTGCCAAATTCGCCGCCTTTAAAACGGGTAAATGACCATAAAACACGCCCGTACGCAACGGCGCCCGCTTCGGGACGGTGGCGTGAATAGGTCGACAAGTCCCGAAAAAAGAAAAAAAAAAGTTTTTTTAATTCAAATTAAGATCGAAAATTTCAGGGGGCGCTATTGTCAGAAAACATTTTCCCCTCTTCTAACGCCCCCTGAATTTTAAAACCTTATTATTTTTTTTATTTTTATTTAATTTTATTTTTTATAAATGCTACTAGTAAACGTTAAATCGGCTGATAATGACGAAAATTACGACCGTCCTTCACTCCGTTTAATAATATAAAACTCGTCGTAGCGTTTCAGTCATTCTGAATCTAATTACCGAGAGCCGCACAAAAGACAATAAACGGAATCGGGGAAACCCCGTCTCCTAACCTTAACCAAGGTCTAACCCGCGATTATATTCGACCATCGGGGTGTGGTTAGGCGGTTGGAATTTTTTCCACACGAGTCAAAAACTATAAACGTATACCACCCATGCCGCTCGATTATCGTCGAGGCCCGCGCTACGCGTCGTCGCGTAAGCAGCTCACGTAATTCGAAAACGTCTAGCGCACCCTCCCGCCGAAATCTCGTAAACGTCGTCTCTCTCTCTCCCACTCGTCGTGACGTAAACAAAATGCTAGGAATTAGAAGTCATAACGCCCCCGAATTTTGTTTTATTCCGTCTTATGGCCCACACGTTTTATAAACGCCGGCTGCAAAAAGAAAATAATCCAAAATGATAAAACGCAGTTTACGAGAATTCGGCGCGCGCTACCTTATTAAAGGTGGAGAAAGAATGACGGTGCGGCCGAAGTTCGATCGGCGATCGATTAATTAATTAATTAAACGAATCGATTCGGTTGTGAAATTTGAAAACAAAGTGGACGACATTTAAAAAGAAAAAAACAGAGTAAAGTTTTATATAACGATAAACACAGTGTTTTGCTATGACGTAAATTATTCCGATGACAAGTTGTTTAGTCAAGTTGCTGCGATGCGACAGATAATATCACTTTATCCCCATATATACAAGATTTATACAAATTATCGATTTCTCCCAGATTTATCGTAACTCGGCACGGAATAACTGCTACTTCGTCGCGGTCTTAAACAACGTGGACGAGAAAACACGATTTAGACTTTTAGCTAACCGACGCAATTTTCGAAAAGAATAAAAGAAAATTTAATTAATAGGTGACTTCGATTCCGCATATGCATACATTTAACACAGTACACGTGTTTCGAGTTTGGTCTTTTCAACAAAAACACACGTCCTTCACCTATATATGAGTGGTATAATCAAGGAGGAAGAATAACGCGGATTCGGTTATTTTTAGATATGACTTTTTTTTTTTTTGTTCCTGGTCTCTCTTATAATTGATTTCGTAGAAGTGTATGAAGTGGCCAGATGGACCCCCGTTTTAAAGTCGGAGCAGTTTAAAACATCGAACCGGCCGTAGGAAGAGGAGGAAAACAAAGAAATCGAACCCGGATCCAGCTTATCTTCAAAATTTACATTACCGACCGTCCACTCTACGCGCTGCAATAAACAATAAACGAGTTATGATTTATTTACTCGGAACTGATCTATTTGCAAAAGGATCCCCGAACCTGTTTTACAGTTTCTGTGGCATTTTCTGA